TAAGGGGGTTAAGTGTGGGCCAGTGGGGCTAAATGGTGGTTTTAACACTATAAGGTCAGGCATACATGTTTGTGTTCCTGACCCTATAATGTTCCTTTAATTATTTCTTTATGAGCACTTGCCCTTTGGATTAGAACAGTCTAAGACAGTCATACTGTCTGGGGGTGCTGTGATGGGATTTCAACATGGTTCAAAATTTAGTAGGCCTGAAATCTCCATTGGGCATATACAAGTACAGGTGTTTGTTGTATCTGTTAGTTAGTTACATGTAGCTAAGATACTGTCATCAATGTACTGAGCATGTGCATCAACTGTAGTCACATTCCTTTGTCCTTAAAAGGAGTCATCCGGTCTGCCCATATTAGGTGATCCTGAATATCCTGTTCACTGATTGCTCTAAGGGTATGTGTGAGTGGAGCTATGAATGGGAGGAGTTATTGTTAATAAATAGCCTGTGCAAACTATGCTCTGGGCTCATACCTTTTGAACACAAGTTCAGTGTGAGACCCGATCGGTGTGTAAATAAAAAGACCTGTTACTTTTTGAAGACTTGTGTCCATATCTCTGTGTGGCTTCTGCGGTTTGTTACTGTTATTCCTCCGGTAACAGTGCAACTATTCCCCAGCACAAAAGTGAATGTATCCCTATATGTGCAATGATTCAAGTAGAAATGCTGCACATGCAGAATGCTATCACCATGACCACTTCTAAACGTAGACGTCATGATAGTTGGAGTAACCCGTTAAATTTAATTTCTATAAAAGGCTCTCATTACCGAATGTTCTGATTAAATATATCAATCAGCAGAAAGCCTGGTTTTTAAAAAGTTACCAACTGTCTTTAAAAACTTCACCTTCAAATTAGGCATTTCACTTTTTTTTTCATTTTATGCAAACACATATTAATGATAAAAGATTTCTTTATATACTGATTTCTATGTAATAGATCTCTGTTCATTATTATTAAAGATGCAAAAAAAAAAGCAAACAAACCATTTCTCCAGTTACAAACTCCCACACAAATTACTGCTGTGCTTCTCAGAAATCGAACAGGAAAGGAACGGTGGATCCAAGGGCACGCGAGGAAATCAATGCCAAAGCCAGCTTTAAACCATTAGGTTCTATCCGCTAAAGTGTAGATGGCCGGACCTAACACTGCGGGACAACTGATATCCTGCTTAAAATCTGGGTCTAGAGTTTAAAAATGAGTAGTGCTAGCAGCCAGGGGGAAAACAAATACAAATATCTTGGTGGCATGTGGGTAAACCCTGTGGAGTCTCTACAGTACCTGCTAGTCAGCCACCATGTTAAAAAGTAAAAAAAAAACAATAATGTAAATAAAGCCTGTGGAGTCACTAATTACCACAGGCAGGGCCAGATTAAGAGCCCAGTGGGCCTGGTGCTGACAATTATGATGGGGCCTAATTACAGAATTTATCGACCTAAAACAATCATACCTCTTAAGAGTCATGTATCTAATGTAGATGGAAACTCAAAGGATGCAGCTATAAGAAAACACATACTCTATGCTAATTTCTCTCTAATTTATGCTTTCATTGTTCAAGTAAATCCATACCCCCTAACAGCAGTATCCAGTGAAGCAGGAAGTCAATGGGCGGGGTAAAAGGGTGGGCCACTGAGGTGAATCACGTGACCAGAACTGCCAAAAGGGGCCAGCATGGCATCAGTGTCCCTATGTATCACAGTGTCCCCATGTCGCCCAGTCCCTTAGTCTCCCAGTGTGTGTGTCCCCATTTCTCCTAGTGTCCCTATGTCTGTGTGTCCCATGTCACTAGGATATTAGGGGACACTGAGACAGATGGGGACACAGTGAGACATGAGGACACTGAGAGACCCAGGGACACAGATACTTAGGGACACTGGGAGACATGGGGGCACTGATACACTTGTGGAAACAGACATGGGGACACAGACATTTGGGGACACTGGGAGAAATGGGGTCACAGACATTTGGGGAAACTAAGACACTGAGAGACTAGGGGACACTGGGAGACAGTGTCTCAGTGTCCCCATGTCTCCCTTTCCCCCCATCCATCACTTCCCTGAGCTGTAGTCTGTTTCTGCAGGCTGGGAGCTGCTGTCTGCACTCTCTGTGCTGTGTAGCTGCTTCCCCGCAGATCAGTGAGTAGAGAGGCAGGGAGATGATGTAACTTTCTATCCCTGCCTCTCTCCATACAAGATTTCTCGAGGGCTGCACCATTCCTGTGGAACTCGCTTCCCTCCTCCGTTAGATGCTCACCCAGTCTCCACTTCTTCATAAAAGTGTATCAATTAAACTGTTAATAGCTCCTGACTGATTCCTCTTCTGCAACTGTCATTAGTCTAATACTATCCTTACCTTTTTGCGTCATTTTACCCCACTCCCTCTAGCATGTAAGCTCATTGAGCAGGGCCCTCAACCCCTCTGTTCCTGTGTGTCCAACTTGTCTGGTTACAAATACATGTCTGTTCGTCCACCCATTGTAAAGCGCTGCGGAATTTGACGGCACTCTATAAATATCATAATAATAATAATGTAAGCTCATTGAGCAGGACCCTCAACCCCTCTGTCCCTGTGTGTCCAACTTGTCTGGTTACAACTACATGTTTGTTCGTCCACCCATTGTAAAGTGCTGCAGAATTTTGATGGCGCTATATAAATAATAACATGCACGTGAACAATAATTAGCAAATGTGCATTCTACCAGATGCATTCAGTCACGGTTTTCTTTAAAATCAATGTTTTGTAACTATCTGAATGCTATAGTTTCCATAGAACTAACATGTGAAAAGCATTGGTTTTAGCCGACAGCCAAAGGAAAGATATGATCGGGTTGACTGAATTCCATCCGGAATTAGCATTAGTAAATATGAGAATTTGCAATCTAGTTGAAATGAATCTATTTTCACCTAATTTTGTTCATCTTGACAAAACCCTGTATTTGGTGAAAATTCCCTATTGCAGCTCAGTTTCCTTTTTGCTTTTAATGAATTTCATAACTCCTTCCTGAGAATCGGGACGCAAGTTGGAGGGAGGTAAAGGGGACAGCCTGTGTCGCAATTGAAGTCACTAGCTCTGCCCCGCCCCACTACCTCTACCAGAAAATGGCAGGACCGCCAAAGTTAATGGCAGGTCAGCTCGGCTTGAATGCACACCAAGGTGCCTGTCCATCACTCAGGCCGACCCACTGAGCGCCAGGGCATGCAGGGAGCTCGGTTACAAGGTCTTGAAGTCATGAAATTTCAATAGCTGTTATGGTATTAAAACAGGATTGTAAAGAAAACATAGATTATAGCGTATCCTATGAAAAAGAAATTAAAAATACAGTGGTAGGGTTGCATTATGATCTCTTAATGGAAAGCAATACACCCAGCCAATTTTTGTAAAAAAAAAAAAAAAGTGTTGTAAAAATATTTTTATATATACAGAAATAAATATTGTTTCTCTTGTAGGTCTTGTTATGGTATCTACACTGAAGCCATATTTAAAGTCATGAAAATTACCTATTATACCTTTTTGAAACTCTACTGGTATCACTAACTTGAGATGGCCTCGAACACCTGCAGTCTTGTATAGAATTCTTTAAAATGGGCAGGGACCATTATCTGGTGTTAAAATGGCTGGAAAATGTTTTAAGGGGACACTATAGTCACCAAAACAACTTTAGCTTAATGAAGCAGTTTTTGTGTATAGATCCTGCCCCTGAAGTTTCACTGCTCAATTCACTGCCATTTAGGAGTTAAACCACTTTTGTTTCAGTAGCCCTAGCCACACTTCCCCTGGCTGTGACTGACAAACCCTGCACAAAAATAAAATGGTTTAATTTTCAATCAGATGTAACTTATTTTAAAAAGTTTTAGCTCCTGCTCTGTAAATTGAACTTTAATTACACACAGGAGGCTCCTGCAAGCTCTAGCAAACATGAACAGAGAAGATAAGAAATTCAAAATTAAACAGAATTTACAATAAATGTGTAAACATTAGATAACTTTACAGAAAGTGTTTACAAAGGCTGTACAAGTCACATGCAGGGAGGTGTGCCTAGGGCTGCATAATCAAAGTGATGTAACTCCAAAATAGCAGAGAATTCAGGGTGCATAATCTATACACCAAAACTGCTTCATCACGCTAACGTTGTTTTGTTGACTAGTGTCCTTTTAACACTAAATGAAAGGACAGTACCAGTGGACTGCATGCACTTTAACAAACTAAGAAATTAATTTTTTATAGCGTCTACAGCAGGGATAGGCAACCTTTGGCACTCCAGATGTTGTGGACTACATCCCACATAATGCTCGTACACCCATATTGCTGGCAAAGCATCATGGGAGATGTAGTCCAAAACATCTGCAGTGCCAAAGGTTGCCTATGCCTGTACAGTGTCCCTTCTTTTGAAAATATGGTGCTAGAAGAGCTCAAGTAGAAATTTAGTCTATTATATTAGATAATTATTTTTTAAGTAATTGTCCACAGGGATAAATACTAAACTAGATTTTAATCTAATAATTTCATCTATAGCTTTTGCTAACCAGTTCTAGTATTTAGTAATTAGTTGAGGTGCTACTGAACTTCCTGGACTTAACAAATTAGGACATAAAGTCTGGTGTAGGATTAGGTTAACACTTGGTTACATTAATTTGAGCTCTGCAAAATGTACTTTAGTAATCACTTATTAAATCTTTTCCGGTAGCGCTAACAAGGTAAGAAAATCCATCTAACCTTCACACCCCCACAAGAACCGGACAGAACTAATTCCCCAACGGAGGTGTTGTTTGTTTCCGACCATTTAAATGAGAACATTGTGGAGAAAGGTCCTGATTCCTGGCATTGCTCTTTTCATTTGAATTTGTCTCTTCTCTTGTAAGGTAAGTGCTAACTAATCATTTTCACTTTGATTTACTTGTCTACTAAAACTACATTGCTAAAATACAAAGCTGGGTATTCGGCCTATAAAAAGAACTGCAAAAGGTAACTGTGTATTTTCACACCACCACTTTAGGATGCTTATGTCTCGTGTGGTTTTAATGATTCTGGCAGTCTACTTGTCCGCCGTGCAAGGTCGCAGAGTATGTCACCCAACCAACGCAACTATATCAGCCGAGAAAGAGGACTGTCCAATGTGCATCACCCTTACCACCACCATCTGTAGTGGTTATTGTGAGACTAAGGTGAGTCCACCTTTAATGGCTACAAATAGGAAACCATGTTCTGCTTAAGCTGTGCAAAACCCCTGCTCTGTTACTAGACATTTCCCTCTCTCTGCGATGTAGATTAGAGGTATGGCTGTACTTTGGGCATTTTATAGTCATGCTTCCCCTTTTACTTTGGGTAAACTCACCAGCAACTTGGGTTCTTGGATATTTCTGGTGGTGCCAGTGTGGGATAGTTAAAATTTTTTTATTTTTTTTTTAAATTGGCCATGCTGTCAATGTACATTTCCCAGATGTAGGGGTCGCAAGTTTCCCCTGCCTTTTGAGTGTTATTGGATACAACCAAGGAGGGATATTGTTCTTGTGTTAATGAGCAGAATTTAAATTTTTTTTTGAGCTATTGGAAAGTAAATGTTTAAAAACTCTTCAATAAGCATAATGTGCTCCCTTTCAATTATAGTTGCTTCGCAGAATTATATTTTAAATGACATAGGCTTGACATTAAATGGGAATCAGTACTTCAGTGTATAGGGCTGATGGCACAGGACATAGGTGAAGAAGTGAGTGACAAGAGCAGGAGAATCCTCCCACACTTGGTTCTCCTGCTCTCTTACACAGTGTCTCTGCCAAGCATTTCTTGCACATTGCTGGATAAATATAGGTTCAGATACCCTTGTGCTGGCAATGAAGTCAGCTGTGGACATCATTGGGGGAGTATTTTCCATGGATGTCCAATCAAAAAGTTCAGGGCTCTTTTTTTTTTTTATTTCAACTTGGTTTTGCCTCCACAATCAGTAATGTTTCCTTTTTTAACCAATAATAGAGCCAAAAGTTTTTAAGCAGGAAAGCTTATTAGGTCTTGTGAGCTATGCCCTTCAGGGTGCTCTCAACCAATGCTTAGGAACTTTCAGCTCCACAGTAGAGGAAGCAAAGCCTGGCAAACACTCAAACCGTTCAAAAACTATTTTATTACTTGCGCGCATGCATGCGTGTCTCTCTCAAAATGTTATTTTGAGTGCTCATTTAATAAGGAAATGCAAGGAGAGTACTAGAAAGGGGGTGGTCACTGTGACTAAAAGGTTGGGCTAGTAATGGGAGAGGTATGGAAACTATGCAAGTGAAGATGTTACAGCAACGAGGGAGGGGACAGGGTGTGTAGACAAGAGAACGGTGTTGAGAAAGGAAAGACCTAAAGTCTGAGGTGGCCAAGTGCATGCAGACAGAGCACTGTGGGTGGGACAAGGTAAATGACTAATCATTCTGAGGACTGAGGGTTTAAACACTGCAGGAAAGAATATTGCACGCATGTATTTCCTAGAAAATATATTAGAAATGACTAGCATGTATTGATCTGTGATGCAAAACTAAAGACTGTACACTAGATAATGTGCGATAATAATAGTGGCATTGATACTCATAACTTTCTACGTCTGACTTGCAACTTTTGTGAGCTGTAATTTTAGATGATATAAACCAGACTGTTAAACATGAATCTTCCAGCTGCTGTACTAAAAGGTTAGCCAACACTAAATTAGAGGTCATGAATGTAGGTGTCTGTACCAAAAGGGGTGCACAGCTAACAGCTGTTTTTATTTCACCAGGAATTTGTACTCAAGACACCCCTATCCACACTGAGGCAGAAAGTTTGTACCTACAAAGAAATTCGATACGAGACCATCAAACTGCCCAACTGCCTGCCGACCACTGATCCATTCTTTACGTATCCCGTGGCTGTGAGTTGCGACTGCGGTTCGTGCAAAATGGATTACAGCGACTGCACAGTCCAAAGCATAGGGCCAGCCTTCTGTTCTAGCAACGCCATACTCATATAACCTGCTTCACAAAGAAGAAATCCAGAAACACAGCCTGCTCCCTCGAACGTGCTTTGTCAGGCACTGAAATATTAATGTGTTATATATGTTCTTTTTTTTAACCGTTGTTGAGCAGGGCTGCTCACTGCGAAGGGAACATTGCACGTTCTTGGGTTTGTTGTAATTTAATCATATGGTGATCATATTTCTCTACCAACCCCTTTCACACACCTACCAAGGCGTACAAAAAAAAAAAAAAACTCAAGTGACTCCTAAGACCAAACATAATAAAGTATGTTCTTAAGACTTCACTACCTCACTCGTTGGACAAGCGTCATTCTTTTGTTCTTCTTACTTACTGTAATCTAGAGATTAAACCTCTAAAAAACAATGGCAATTTTGTCATACCAGCCTTTACATAGTATAAAGGACATGCCAGTTATATAATTTAAAAAGCCTGCAATTCACAGAAAGCAGGCAAGAGTTGCAGGGAGACACAGGAGGTAATATAAAACCCACCACTAATGATCCACTTGAAGTCAGAGCTGCAATGTGATTGGCTTCTTGGTATTGCTAGCCAATCAAAATACAGGTAGCATGCAAATCATAGAAGAAAATGTACACATTAACATTAAAGGACCACTATAGGCACCCAGACCACTTCAGCTTAATGAAGTGGTCTGGGTGCCAGGTCCAGCTAGGTTTAACCCTTTTTTCTATAAACATAGCAGTTTCAGAGAAACTGCTATGTTTGTAAATGGGTTAATCCAGCCTCTAGTGGCTGTCTCATTGAGAGCCGCTAGAGGCGCTTGCGTGCTTCTCACTGTGAAAAATCACAGTGAGAAGACGCCAGCGTCCATAGGAAAGCATTGTAAATGCTTTCCTATGAGACTGGCTGAATGCGCGCGCGGCTCTTGCCACGCATGCGCATTCAGCAGAGGAGGAGGAGAGGAGGCGGAGAGTCCCCTGCCCGACTCTGGAGAAAGATGTAAGTTTAACCCCTTCCACCTCCTAGAGCCCGGTGGGAGGGGGCACTATAGTGGTCCTTTAAACAAATGTCTGCCCCTGTCTGCTTTAAACTGCAAAAACACCAGAATTAATACAATAATCAGCAAATTAATGTATTGGAATACAGTTAAGCTAATTAGTCTTGCATCATGTCTCTAACTGCAGTACCCAATAGCTTGTTTCTCTACAATACAGTTACGTGCTTAAACACAAAACACATGATATATTTGTATACACAAACACACAAAGTAAATCAATTAGAATGTTCTTTATATATAAAAAGGGAGACCGATCACAACAGCATGAACATAAGGCATGAAACAAATTGTTTAACCTTTTGAGTGACAGGTAGGCATGCATGACCTAATTCAATGCATTGCTTAACTCTGGCATACAAAAGGTTAACCAGACTAAGGAATAATAAAACAAAAACAAAAAAATGCAAAGCATTCAGTTCATTCTCTGATTATCACGACGTGTCCATGGTGTCTCCTTCTGCAAAATAGGAAAAACAATATATAAACGTAACATTAGTAAAAGTGATTATTTGATTACGGCAGGAATCACATTTTCTTTTTATCTTTGAGACACAGTAAGCAGAACGAAGGCACTTGAATACTTACTCATTTCATTAAACATAAAGGCATCTTGATATTCTTTCATGTACTGTGTTGATCTGGACTCATCAAGAAAGAGGGAATATACTCGTTTGATATCGTCGACCTGTACGTCATTTCCCTGGAAAACAGTAATGGAAGAGTAAGATGGCTGCCCTACTACTCACTCTAGAGTAGGAATGTTCAATGCCAAGGGAAGCCGCTCTTTCAGGGAATTAGTTTTAATGTAGCTCAATGACCTCTTTGTTCATTAAAAGGTATCAGAACCACCAGAGTCTGCTGTAGGGGTTATTGTCAAAAGTGCCCTGGCTCTGTCCCAGAGTTAAACTCTTTTAGAACAGTTTTAGGACTTCTGTGGGTCCCCAGGTGCCTACGTCACATCCAGCAGTCTCCTATAGAAGAAGACGGGTCTCTCCACAAAGCACAAGCATGGCCGATACAGGACTGAGCTCTTGGATGAAAAAGTTCAGCTGACACTCTCTGGCAATGAGCGCGGTCTATCGTGGCACTTGCAAACAATAAATGTTTAAGGGAAGAGGACACTTTGCCATTTTCTGATTTGTTTACACCTGACCTGGCACTACTTTTGTTTTAACAAATAAACTGTAGTAAGTCCGTAACTTTGGACAGTTTTGAAAGGTACTTGTAAACTGTAACAAATTATTAGATTTGATGCAAAATGATGCATATATATTGATATTAAAACAAGGGACAATGTATTCAAACAGTTTAAGGGCAGCGCCAGGCAATATGCACAATATAATGGAGCGCTGCCCACAAGTAAAATACATTGGAGCTCTGTGGTAGGGGTCCGCCACAAACCGAAAAAATGCTTCCCATTCACAAAACAGAGGAAATGGTATACACTTGCACCATAAGAACTTCATTTCGATTAATTTGTTATAGTGCCCGGAGTAAAGATAGGAATACATAGGTAACAGTGTAGGGTGCAAATAGAAGGATTTAATCTTGACAAAAAGGACAAAATAATATACGTTTCGGCTGTGAGGCCCTAGTCAGGGCCTAAACATTGTATATTTTATTTTGTCCTTCTCGTCCAGTATAAATCTATTTGCACCTTACACTGTTACCTATGTATTCCAATCTTTACTCCGGGCACTATAACTACTTAATCGAAATTAAAATGCAAGTACGTACCATTTTCACTTCATTTTGTGAATGGGAAGAGTAAGCGGCACCCAGACTAATGCTTCCTGATTACATTTGCTAATGAAAGAACAAATTGCAGGATGGAATTTCAGCCAACAAGCAATTAAGTTTTAATTTTGTTCGTTGTAATTTCTATTTGTTCATTTGTCTTTTGGACGAATAGCCAGAATTCGGACAAAAACATGCTCGTCCGAAAAAGAATTCCAAAGTCCAGTAAACAGCGCAAAGCATATTAAATTATGAAGAAAAAAAATAAATACATGTTTTAAAAAACATTTATGGAAAAATAAAAAACAAACCACATATCTATTGTCAAGACCATAAAGATCACATAAGAAATCTCAAGGCAAGCAGCTTTAGGGTTAGAAATCTGGTTTTATAGTTATTTTAAAACAGGTTTAAAGCATGACCAAAATACACGTTAGCCAAGATAAAAAAGTAAAAAAATAAATTAAAAAAATGGACCAGAATATGAACTGTAGAACCCACCTTTCGCTTCCTGCAGACCAGACTTGCAGCTGTGATGAGCTGGATGGAGTATCTGAGAGAGGTTTCCATACCAATCCGCGTCAGTACAGTGTAAGCATCCTCGCTCATATCCACATCTTCCTCTTCACACCTACAGAAAAGCCACAAATGAAAGATAGCCGTTGACACAGAGTACCATGTCTGATTTTCCTGTGAAGCTCAGCCAGTCATTCTACTAGCTGAGTATCATGGAAAACACAGTCCACAACACACATTATGTCTATTCTCATTTTCTGGTTAGTCTAGAAACAGACAAGGTTATTTACTATAGTGTAAACTGTCAGAAAGTGAATGTACATTTTAGATCACAACTGAACTAGAAAAATGCTCAAAGTTACAGGAACACTATGGTGTTAGAAATTCAGCTTTTTATTCCTAACACTACATAATGTTCCACTAACCCAGCAGCAAGAGTTCAAAACACTGGCTCCTTCTTCACCTAGCGCAAAGGGGAACATAAGCATGCGCAGCCAGCACATGCATTAGGCCTTACCCACAGAAAAACATTGAATCAATACTTCCTTATGGGGATTTGCAAAGCGTGAGGCCTTCCAGCATTGGTTCATGGAGTTAAAGTCTGTAAAAAGCCAGGAGGCGCCTATCTGGGAGACAACCACTAGAGGCAGTCTAAAGCCTGCAATGGAAACACTGCGGTTTCTCTAAATGTTTTCCATTACAGGGTTAAGGGAACAGACGCACTGCACCCAGGCCACTTAATGAGATAAAGTGGTGCGGGTGCCTAATGTCCCTTTAAATGGTTTCAGTTCAGGCATTTTAGTCTAAAATTGCTGAGAATTCAATATGAATTTCAAATGCAAGGCCAAAATAGCCAAACTGTACACAGAACTAACCTATTTTTTCTAAATCTCCTATTTTGACCAAATCTCTAAATTCGATATGAATTCCTAGCAATTACACTTTAGTGAAAAACTTTACCTGAGCGTTTACAAATCTGATTTAGATCTTCCTTACTGGAGGGAAAAGCTTGCAAACTGGCATGAAGCAGGTTGCTAATGCTATGTTAAGTGATCTTAAATATATATATTTAAAACAAATAATAAAAAACAGTTTTCAATCCAGTAAACTAGAAAACTCACCTGATCTTCAAGATCTGTTTGGTTTCCTTTTCATTGTATGGTGACGTTGAAATGATAAGTAACCGGTCCAGTAAATCGATTGGAATTCCGTGGGGACTCTGGTAGTTTGTTCCGCGAATCCTAAAATACATTTAATTCTCATTAATATCTTGAAATGAAATACATTTGTTCTTAGAAGGGAAAAGCAAATCCATGCCAACTGCAGGTCACTTACCTAGTGATACCTCTGTTCGTGGCCATGATCAGCACAGGAGCCATGTCACTCTCCAAAGCCCGATTCAAAAATGAGAAACATTCAATGTCCAACATGTGTACCTCATCTATGAAGAGCACCTACGGGAGAAAACAGAGGGTTAAACAGAAGTCAAAACAATATAAAGATTTACGAAGATGTGAACCCTTTGCAAATGAAAATGTTTCATCCTGGTAAAAAAAAAAAAAAAACCACACTTTCTCCAGAATTGTATTTCTTAAGCACTAACCTCTTAACTGAAGAAAACTGAAATTCAAGTGACCCAATTTAGGCTAAAATAGATCATTTGGAGAATCTCTTCAACTCACTTAGAGAGTCACATTTTTAATACTTTTGCTAAAATCTTGCCATTTGTATTTCAATTAGCTACAATTTGGAATTTAGTAAATAAACCCCATAATCAGCAAATATAGCATTGCAAATTCACCACTTGAAGTAGAAAGTCCTATTGACTTCCTTAAAATACGCATTGCAAAGTACTTATGATTATATTTACGAACTTGAGTAGCAAGCTATCCGAATGGGGATAAAATATGATTATATTTACACCTAAAAATGAACTTAGTAAAAAATCTTTAACAAAATGATCAGGCCTTTCAGAGGATATTAATTTACCCCAGGGATAATTTCTGCCTTTCCTTCCTCTCGCCATTCTGCCACCTTCGCATTGATCTGTTCACGAACTTCAGATTTGATCTCTCCGGTGTCACCTACATCCGAAAGAAATACCATAAAATGAGGAAATATTCAAAAACTAGATACACTATCATGTTCACTACAATACAAGACTATTTTCACACTTAAGGCGGCACGGTCATGCAGTAGTTACCTTTCCTCAATTGATTCCTCTTTTCTACCTCAGTCAGGAGCAGTTCTTCATTTCTTCATGTCTGCTCTAGTTTTCTTTAAAATCATAAGACAAAGTAGGGACTATTTGTCTTATGGAGGTTTCCCACGCCTGACCAGCTCTGACCAGCGGAGGAGCAAAGTGTGCTTCATTTTCGGTGGTCAGAGCAATTTTCCCACAATTCTCAACTTTCCTCCGTGTTCCCGCAAAGCCTCCTTTCACTTTTCCCCTATTGTCCTGTCATTTAGACAGAATGCCGGCGAAACTACAGAATTTCGTCCTAATAGAATGGAAATAGTTCAGGACTTTGTTCGGATCGGAATTGGAGGGGTGGGGGGGGAAGGGGACACAACCATTTTCATTTAGGGCCGACACCTGCTGCTCCCTATTGTTATTTAAGGCCCCAGCCGCTGCTCATGGGTGGGGGGAGCACAATAGGTCCCCCCCATTTTCAATTAGGGCCCCTACCCACTGCTCATGGGTGGGGCCAGGGGGGGGGGAACGACGACACACACACTAGCCCCCCCACTTGCATGGGAAGGGGGACACTAGGGTTTTGTTTTTTAACAGTGAGCAGCTCCTGCCGCGCGTGCGCATTCAGCCGAAGAGGAGAATCGGAGAGCTCCCCGCCTGGCGCTGGAAAAAAGGTAAGTTTAACCCCTTTCCTCGCCATCCAGCACAGCGGGAGTGGGACCCTGAGGGTGGGGGCACCCTCAGGGCACTATCGTGCCAGGAAAACGAGTATGTTTTCCTGGCACTATAGTGGTCCTTTAACTGCAAGTTTATTCTACACTAAGATCTTACAATAAAAGTACTCAGCCCCCACATCCTACAAGGAAAATTAAACTGAAAATGTACACCTGGAAACAACTTAAAACTAATCGTCATGTCTCTATGCACCATTAACTCTTACTCATGCATGTTCCTGCTCTTAATGAACATTAAGAATCTGTTTATACAAAGAAACTTCTGAACATGCAGACACCCAGTAATTTGCAACGGCCATATTTATTTAATTTCCTGTTGGAACTGGAAGCTAGGGCTAAACTCATCAGATTTTATGTGCATCATGCAGTGTAGGCAAGAAAATATGTATCCCTCTAATCTTTAAAATCCAAGTACTTGCTCTAGCTAAAAACGTATTTCCTCCCCCTGGTTCCACCCATTCTATATGGTTATTATAACAGTGTATCCAGTGTTTGCATTTCTCTAACCTTTTACACTGTTGCAAACTCTCGGATGTTCTTTGCTACCGCGTGCCACTAATCTGCAACTTGTCAATGCAATGCACTGTATAAGGCTACTGGAGAATTTTTAAGAAATGCTACCCTTTAACCATACCTGAAAAAAGAGCAAGAAATCCCTGAGTCCTGCTGTTAATAACATCGATTTCATGTAGAGAGACAGTGTGGACTACTTCCTTGCGCTTCTGTAATTCCCCGTCAGGGCACTGGACAAATTTGGTCTAAATAGGGGGAAAAAAAATAAAAATAACTTAACAAGTTCATGCAAAACATGCACCCAACACATAATTTCTCTCCACCAACATACCTGGGATCCCATGGCATCATAGTCTCTCGCTCTTGTGAAAGCACGACCCAATTTGGTAATCTTGCCTGTGGCTTTATCAATGGTAATAACATCGCTAAGAAACAAATAAAACAGATTAAACTAGGAAACAGAACAAATATCAAGTAAATAAAAACACACAAATTTAAGGAAAAAAAAAAAAAAAAAAAGGCACTTTTGCCTTCCCATATAGGTAGAGGGTTTAATAAAGTAGGGATTCCCAAATCCCATATCCGGATAAACCATATCCAGTGCCATTATCAGCTTACCCAGCCTGAACTTTTTCCTTTGTCAGCGATTCGATCATCTTTGTTCCCAAGTCATAAATGGTCTCCATTTCTGTAGTTTTCAATGTCAGTTTGCCCACCTTTGCACCCTTTAAAGGCAGGGATAATAGAACAAATATTAAGCTTCAGCAAAGATTCAGAAATCAAGCCATGCCTGCAGCAATACAAAAGCTCTTCAACGGCTAGAAGTGTGTCTGTGGTTATTCAATTTTGAATGCACTTTACAAAGCTTACATGAAGCCATATTTATTTGATACAGAATTGTCACCAAATTTTATGTTTAAACTTGGAGTAAATATGTTTTTAAAGTTATGGGTCACAAAAGAATGAATAAATTTAAAAATCTTACAGTTCCAGTCGCAGGTCTGTCAATTTGAACTTCAACAACCTCTCCTTCAATTATTTCAGTTTCTTCTCTGAAAGGGAAAAAAAACCGAATTGAACGCACTGATTGTAATGTGAACTTTTAAGCTGAAATCCAAGGTGTAAAAAAAAATATAAATATAATCGTGAATGCAGAAGTAAAGCAAAGTTCATCATCGGTTTATTTTTAAAACATATGCTAGCTAGATGAATCCTTTCAGGTTAAATATCATTATTAATAGCTATTATCTTATTAAAGTTTTATTCTGTCAAATTGGCAAGAAGAAACGCCATAATTAATATTATTACCATTTATATATCACCAACACAATCCGTAGCGCTTTACAATATCACGAGGGGGGGAGATTTAACAATAAATGAGAAAATTACAAACATTTACAGGAACACTTGGTTGAAGATGACCCAGCTCAAACGAGCTTACAGCCTAGTGAAGGTAGGGTATGAAACACAATAGGACAGGAGATAGCAATCAAATAAGGTGGGAGTGAAGCAGAGCTGGAGGAGAGAGTAGGAGACAGCAAGAGACAGGTATGTAAGGTAGAGGTTATTCTGGGAGGCCATAAGCTTTCCTGAATAGATGGGTTTTAAAGCACTTCTTAGTTAAACGATTGAAGAATAGGGGAGAGTCTGATGATGGGTAGGCAGGCTATTTCATAGAGCGCAGGTAACTTTTTCTTTGGTTTTTATGTATGTATTGGAGCGGATATATGCTATGGTCATTGCTGCCGCCTAGGAGTGATGGGAGTTTGAGCGCAGGACTTGTTTTTTTGTATTTGTATCTACTTTTTTTGGTATTTGTATCTACGTTACAATGGTGCCACCCATCCCATGTGTTCCTTATTAGGGGTTAATAAGCATGTAGGGGTGTATAAAAAAAATAAATATAAAAATACCCATTTCTGTCTCAGAGATATTTTTGCCAGAAGCTCAAAGAAGCAAGGTAAAAGGTTAGTGTAGGACCCACCTGAGAGGTTTGCCTTTATGTGGCAGGTGGGCTAAAGTCTCTCATGGCCATTGGAGAACCTAAATAATCTCCACTTGTTTAAATATGCATAGGGATTTGGGAAGAGTGCAGATATCTTTTTTCTTAGGCAGAGCATCACTCGGCGGCCCAGCAGTCAGGAGAGGTATTGCAGGATGCCTCGATGCAATACCCTTAGAGCGGCTGGAAGTGATCACGATCGCTTCCAGCACTCATATTTGCCGCGGATGTACTAGGCATGTCCATGATCCTTAAGGGGTTAAAATAGGGCAGGACTTATTGTGTTACATTGTGAGTAAAGTGAATAAGTTCTTCCCTCACATGTTCCAAACACCTTATTAAATTGCCAACATATTATACAGCACTGTACAATGGGTGGGCAAACAGAAAATAGTAGTAGGACAAGATAGATTTTTTTTTATTTTTTTTTTAAAGTGACGTGTATCCTGCTAAAACAAAGTAAGCAGGCTGAACTATATTTTAAAGGGACACTAGTCACCAGAACAACTAAGGCTTCTTGTATTTGTTCTGGTGAGTAGAATCAATCCCTTCAGGCTTTTTGTAGTAAACACTGTCTTTTCAGAGATAATGCCGTGTTTATATTACAGCCTAGGAACACCTCTAGTGGCCACTCCTCTGATGGCTAGTTGAGGTGCTTCCTGGGGCAGTGCTGCACATTGTAGTTTTGCCATTCAGTCTCTCCACCCTCTGCAATGGAGACACTGAACTTTGCTTATAGAGATGCATTGTTTCATTCCCCCATGTACTTGGCAATTTAGAAGTGATTATGTATGCAGAAGTACATACTCACATGGAGTACCAATGGGCACATGTTAAGGATTTGGGTTAACCATTGTTATGGGCAAATGCAAATATTACAAGTTTTAGAATGAAATGTTGTATTTCTTAAACTGTGTACTTTGTGTTTAAGAGATATTGCAAATTGACAAGGTGTTAGAAATGGAACATATTGTTTTTCAAGCAATAACGTCAGTGCATAATATGTTTGCGCCATTTTGTCCCAGATGAATTATAATAACAATAATGCATAAAAAAGCTTCAAGGCTATACGACGACTCTTTCAGTACACAATATACTGTTGTAACCCCAAGTTAATGGAACTTCCCCAAATCTGGGTATCTCCCACGACTGTGCACTTACGACTTAGTATAAACAACAGGTAAGCTATTCAGACTTTAAGATGCCATCTTGAACTAAGTCAGGAAAATTTCCATGACGTATACACCCTTTAGTTATGGCCTTGTATGTTTGCCAAATTAAGGGAGGTCCTAAAATGAATAAAGTAAAAGAAGTTACTTTTTTATATATGAACTACGGTGACCCTAAAATGGAGACACCTAAGGTATAAATAGGTGTACTTTTAAAAGACACAGAGGAGAGACTTGGAGACAGACGCTGCTCCATCTTAAAATGACAGATAGGCTGACATGATGACATGTTCAGAAGGGTATGTTAACCTATTAATGATATTTGCAAGCATTTAATCTTATAAACTCTGCTATAATGGATTTTATCTCTCTATATTTATATAATAAATATCTAAAAGACAAAGCTATTGCTTCCAAGACAATCCTTATTTTATATTGTATTCTCAATTATTTATATATTTTAAATAGAGGATCTCTTACACTAACTATATAAAATTATGGCTAAGATATCTGTATGGTTAGCCCTACTAAGTTCTATGCTTTAAGACATTGTAGTGGTAAATAAGGGAACCAGCCGCGGTTACACCATGTAAATCCGTTAAATACAGAACCTGCAGTAGACAGATGTTTATAATGCAAGTACGAAAGATAGTCACAGTGACAGTAATGCTTACTTGATTCGGACACCAATAGAACGACGGAATGATTGCGTCAAAGCTTCAGTTTTGCTCATTTCTAGGGAGAAGATTTCACTGCCAGCAATTGCTGTAAATGGCGTATCTTGGCCCAGGGCTTGTGCCATGCCTGAATAACAAAGAAGGTAGGATTCATGGACATGGTAAAACGTTCACCAAAACCTGGAGTTTACTATAATTAAACAATACAAAGTTGCCCATTACAAAGGAACACTTATTGTGAATAATAAAATATTACATTTATTATAGCTTATGTGTGCATTATTTTGTAAAGCATACCCATTAGTAAGACACCTATCAGTGCTTCTCCTCTCTTATCTTTTGCAGATCCAGTACTCAACACGTCTTTGGCCAGAAGCACCACATATCCAATTGAAGACCATGCATAATTTAACATTTTTGCATATGTCAGGATTCATGAATGTGTACCATTTCTAGATTTTGTAATTTTTTTTCCTTCTTCAAACCAATGAGGACTTAAAAATGTCAGCCCAGGTGGACATTACAAAACAATTAAAACACAGGCTATATTAAAAAAATATATATAAAGAAGTGATGACAGTGTTCCTTTAAGATTTACATTTGTTAATTCAAACTGAACACTTCCCTACTGCACCGCAACTGTGTTCAACAATCAAACCATGGGACCTTCTAATCGAACTGGAAGCCTGTCTTAAAGGCAAGATCCCAGGTGAATGTGCCATAAACAACATTGGCATTAAATAGGGAAATACAGCCTTAAATTCTTGTTGATTTATAGACCTACCCATAGCTATGGCTGTTTTTCCAGTGCCAGGTTGTCCTGCAATCAGCACAGCTCGTCCTGCAATTTTGCCTTCTCTGATCATTTCCAAAATAACTCCTGCAGCACGGCGAGCAGCCAGCTGGCCCACCATACCCTGCGAAACCTGAAGAAAGAGAGCGAAAAAGCTTTGAGGAGCATGAAGGTAAAATATTTAATATTGTCAGTTAGAGATAAACTGTGAAATCAGAAATTTAAAATAGAATCGGAAACGTCCTATTCAAAACATGGAGAATGACTACAGCACACACAAAGAGAGAGACAGACAAGAAAACAAGAACAGATAATCACATTTAATGAATACACAAACAAAAGGCATTTATTTTACTCTTAAATCAAAACTATGCTTTTAGGTCTCATTTTTTGTGTGTGTATATATGTATATCTATATATTTTTTTTAACTATTTCCAATACTGGTCTAAAATGCATTGTATTTCACCTATGAAAAAATGTTTGGATTTCAGTTTTCTTTAATTTTTATTTCAAAAAAACTTTTTCCTAACTAATAAATTAAAAACAGCAAATATTTATTGCTAAAGTAGGAGGACATGAAGAAAGAAAACAAAAACCTTTATATTGTGGGAATTTACAGACATATTAATATTGCATTACCTGTCGGGGTTCCAAAGCTTCATCCAGACCAAGTCCTCGAATGTGAGAATGGGCACCTAGTGAGACAAGAGCCAATGAATTGCCACAAAACAGAATTTGGCTTTGAAAATAGTTTTCATACCAAAAAGAGGAATACCATCAATCAGTGCAGTGAAGAACTCTAGCAGTATATATGCACAGATTGTGTGAACTAGACTTCTCATAATCCTAAGCCTACCATGTATACTGGAGGAGCAAAGGAATTGTAGTAAAATGCTAGTTGAACAAAATGGGAAATGGAAGTTAAAGGACCACTCCACACCCAAAAGCACTATACAGGTGTGAAGTATTCTTGTTTAACCAGCACTTTTATAAATTAACAAGGGAACGCCCCCTGGCTGTCAAACAGCCAGGGAGGTTTGCAGCCTCCTTCCGTTAGCTCCCTTGAGGTAACGCAAGTGGCAGGCATGCTTTACTAAAGCATGTCTGCCTCCTCCCACATCGAACTCAGACCAGACGTGCGCACGTGGACACCAATTCAGAGACGTCTCAATGAGAAGCCTCTGATTGGTTAGTTCCCTGTGAAGAGACTGAACATTTCTTCCAGCAAAAAAAAAGGGGAGGGGCATGCCAAGGCTGCAGTCTTTACAAGCTTTTTAAAGATACACCACAACAAATAGTTGCATGAAAAATTCATGTATTCATTGGGGGTATATCTACTAACTAAACAGTGATATTGTTTGCCTATGTGAGCAGTGGAGCGTTCCTTTAGACAAGACAGGCATCAAAATAACTTAATAACTAGCTTAATTAAGCAGTTTTGGTGTATATATCATGCCTCTGCAGTCTCTCTGCTCAAGTGAGCAGAGAAGTCTCAGTCATTTATGAGTTAAATCACTTTTGTTTCTGTCCATGCAGCCCTTACCACACCTCCCCAGCTGTGACTGACAAAAAATAAATAAAATAAAAATGTTTTCAAATCATATCTTAACTTACTTTACTCTTAACTGTCTAAATGAAACTTTAATTATAAACAGGAGGCTTATGCAGGGTCAGGAGATAAAGTCTATGTTTAGCAGCCTGTGCAATAAAGGAAGTTTAAAGGACCACTTCAGCTTTATGAAGTGGTCTGGGTGCCAGGTACCTCTAGGATTAACCCTTTTTTTTTTTATAAACATAGCAGTTTCAGAGAAACTGCTATGTTTATACTGAGGGTTAATCCAGACTCCAGAGCCTCTAGTGGCTGTCTCATTGACAGCCGCTAGAGGCGCTTGCGTGCTTCTCACTGTGAAAATCACAGTGAGAGCACGCAAGCGTCCATAGGAAAGCATTGTAAATTCTTTCCTATGCGACCGGCTGAATGCGTGCGCGGCTCCTGCCGCGCATGCGCATTCAGCCGATGACGCCGTGAGCAAGGAGGAGTACAGCTCCCCGCCCGGCGCTGGAGAAAGGTAAGTGTTTAACCCCTTCCTCTCCCCAGAGCCGGCGGGAGGGGGTCCCTGAGGGTGGGGGCACCCTCAGGGCACTATAGTGCCAGGAAAACGAGTATGTTTTCCTGGCACTATAGTAGTCCTTTAAGCATTGGATCTCTCTTCACAGGAAATGTTTAGGATGGCTGCTTAAAAGGGACTCTCCAGTGCCATGAAAACAATCCGTTTTCCTGGCACTGCAGGTCGCCTCTCCCTCCCACCTCCAGCTGCTGAAGGGGTGAAAACCCCTTCAGTCACTTACCAGAGGCAGCGACATGTCCCACATCGCTGTTTTTTCCTCCGCTCCTCCCCTTTATTACGTCAGCCGGCGGGGGAGACTGATCCCGCCGGCCGGCTGGGGAGACCATGTCGCACATGCGCATTAGCCCTCTTCATAGGAAAGCATTTTAAATGCTTTTCAATGCTTTCCTATGGCGATTTTAGTGACGCTGAAGGTCCTCACACAGCGTGAGAACGGCCAGCGACGCTATAGCACAGAAAACATGTGCTATAGACCAGGAAGTGCCCTCTAGTGGCTGTCTAGAAGACAGCCACTAGGGGAAGACTTAACCCTGCAAGGTAATTATTGCAGTTTAGGAAAACTGAAATAATTACAGTTGCAGGTTTAAGGGTAGTGGGAGTTGGCACCCAGACCACTCCAATGGGCAGAAGTGGTCTGGGTGCCTGGAGTGTCCCTTTAAGTCACACACAGAGAGGTGTGACTAGGGCTGCATAAACAAAGTGATTTAACTCCTAAATAGCAGAGAATTGAGCAGTGAGACGGCAGAGGCATTATCTTCAGACCAAAACTGCGTCAATAAGCTAAGTTGTTTTGTTGCCTTTAGCATCCCTTTAAATCTAAGTAACTACCATAGTGTGCAAAGCTGAACAATTACACTACACACACACACTGAACCGTATAAGTCATATATACTGTTCAAAAATGGTTTGACTCTTTACATTAGCAACTCAAAGCAGAGCTGTAAGCACAAAACAAAGCATACATAATAGAATTCAAATAGTGAATACATAGCATGCATGGTTTCAGTAACAGATTCATTATATTTATATTTAATTTTAAAAATGTTTTTACAATTAAATATTATATATATATATATATATATATATATATATCTTGTAAATCATAAAAAATAAAGTTGCCAAATGTATTGGAATAACTAGCATTTAATATATAGCACTGAGAGCAATTCAAACGTAACTTTGTTTGCAGCCCTCATCTCCACGGACACAGGCTGCAATGTGACAGTTGTAGTTTCCGTGGAAACTAATTAGGAGCAGTAACAAAAAAAAAAAAGCACACCAAACAAACAGCCTTTTCAGTGCACTCTTTGTATGAGTACCAGGTAGAAACCACTGCTACTTCATTCTGACTTTTAAAGTTAAAACGCAGACAAGCAAAAAGTCTAAAGTCTTATTCCAAACCAAAACTATGTAACTAGTTAAAATATATTATTGCTACACTTACCAATTCTTTCAATTCTGGTGACATCACGCACTTCGGGCACCTTGGGAGTCTGAGAAAATATGTGCACATTACAAATACAATAAAGATGTAAATGAATTTAAAAAAAAAAAAAAGAAAAAAAAATGAATATACACTACTACTACTAAGTAACTATGTAATGATAAACTAAACTACGGCTATGTTAAAGTTATCAAAAGGAGATGAAAAGGAATGCTTTCAAGCTACAGCAGAATTACATTTTCAAGGTATTACAAAGATTTAGTGAGAACCATAGGAGTGGTGGTAGATCAACTAAGAATTGCAAAGGAATCGCTGAGGTACAAACACAAAGCTGACATTCTATATCGCATATGAAGGAAACTATACAGTAGATTAGATGTCTACTGAAACAGCATTACAACAGTCACAAAAATATAGCCATTTACTCCAAAAACTACAAAGGTGAAGGGTGTGTTACTCCGGGCAAGGGTTATTCAAAATGTTACTGTCATTTAGCAAACTCAGACTTTTTGCCTAATTTCCAGGCTCCAAAGAATGTCTTGGTCCTGAGAGTACGCAACATCTAACAGCATAAATAAATCAATATAAAAATGTGAGACATGGATTGTACCCAGACCAGGCACACAACATTAACCCTTTTACCACTTAGTGAGTGCAATATGGAGCTCATTCAATTTTTTAAGTTAAAGTTAACCCTCAATACAATGGCACAGCAATACAAGATTACTGCAGGAGTTATTACTCCTTTTACACTCAACCTTAACCCTTTCAGTGTCTTGGGGGGGCATAACACAGGCCTGCAGGAGGGGTGCTCACTCATTCTGCACTCAGTCTCACTGCCATTGCCTGGGTTGTAATACAGGGCTGCTGCAGGGTTGTCCATTACTAAAAATCTAAGATTTTCAGTGTCATGGAGTGCATTAAACAACCACTGAATGAATGCTTACTCATCTGAAACTTAACCCTTTCACTGCCACATGAGCTGGGGGGGGTTTTCCTACTCCCCTCAATTTAATACCACTCCATGGTGGCCCTGTCTATTGCCATCAGGCATGTTTGCTGGATCAGACTGTCCCTAACACTCACAGAGGGGGGGGCAGGGGGCCCTGCTGGGGACACATTATTCTGGGAATGGGGGTCCCTGGTTATATTATCCCCCCTGCCTTCCCAGGACCTGCTAATAACCTCCTCATAACCCAATTCTCATTGAAACCCTTTTACCCCAGCCTGCCCAGCTTACCGCCATGGTTGCCATGCTTTCAACTCTTCTTCCGCCACTAACAACCGCTTCCAGCAAACTGAATGTGCAACCAGGAAACAGTCCCGACTGGGGAACAAGTCCGCCCACTAACGTTCCGGGAGAAGACCCTCCCTCACAGGGGGAGGAGGAGAGAGCAGAGTACAGTGAACAAAATATTCTATTTACACAATGTCTGTAAATTAAATAAAGGCATGGGGTGCTTTCAATGTGAAACAATAAATCGTAATTTAAATAATAAAATAAAGAAGTTTGTATTTTAAAATAACAATGAGCTTTGGGACTTACTACATGAATAGTAAAAAAAATAACAAAAACAACATATTCACTAGATTGTGAATTCTACTGAAGTGAGAAGGTAATGGCAAGTGTGGACTGGACGGATATCCCCCAGCTTACCTTTAGTCAGAGCAGCTCAGGAAAGTAAGTACACCCCTCACATTTTTGTAAATATTAATAGTAAGTGTACAGCCTGTATAACAGTGTAAGTTTGCTGTCCCCTCAAAATAGCTCAACGCACAGCCATTAATGTCTAAATCGTTGGCAACAAAAGTGAGTACATCCGTAAGTGGAAAATGTCCAAATTGGGCCCATTTAGCCAGTTTCCCTCCCCGGTGTCATGTGACTCATCAGGTGTGAATAGGGAGCGGGTGTGTTAAATTTGGTGTTATCGCTCTCACACTCTCTCATACTGATAACTGGAAGTTCAACATGGCACCTCATGGCAAAGAACTCTCTGAAGATCTGAAAAAAAGAATTATTGCTCTACATAAAGATGGCCTTGGCTATAAGAAGATTGCCAAGACCCTGAAACTGAGCTGCAGCACGGTGTGCAAGACCATACAGTGGTTTCACAGGACAGGTTCCACTCAGAAAAGGCCTAGCCATGGTCAACCAAAGAAGTTGAGTGCACATGCTCAGCGTCATATCCAGAGGTTGTCTTTGGGAAATAGGTGTATGAGTGCTGCCAGTATTGCTGCAGAGGTTGAAGGGGTGGGGGTGGGGGGGGTCAGCCTGTCAGTGCTCAGACCATACGCCGCACACTGCATCAAATTGGTATGCATGGCTGTCGTCACAGAGGGAAGCCTCTTCTAAAGATGATGCCCAAGAAAACTCGCAAACAGTTTGCTGGAGACAAGCATACTAAGGACATTAATTACTGGAACCATGTCCTGGGGTTCGATGAGACCAAGATAAACTTATTTGGTGTGTGGGGGCAACCAGGTGAGGAGTACAAAGACAAGTGTGTCTTGCCTACTGTCAAGCATGGTGGTGGGAGTGTCATGGTCTGGGCCTGCATGAGTGCTGCCGGCACTTGGGAGCTACAGTTCATTGAGGGAACCATGAATGCCAACATGTACTGTGACATACTGAAGCAGAGCATGACTCCCTCCCTTCGGAGACTGGGCTGCTGGGCAGTATTCCAACATGATAAAAAACCCAAACACACCTCCAAGACGACCACTGCCTTGCGAAAGAAGGTAAAGATGATGGACTGGCCAAGCATGTCTCCAGACCTAAACCCTGTTGAGCATCTGTGGGGCAGCCTCAAAGGGAAGGTGGGGGAGTGCAAGGTCTCTGACATCCACCAACTCCGTGATGTTGTCATGGAGGAGTGGAAGAGGACTCCAGTGGCAACTTGTAAAGCTCTGGTGAACTCCATGGCCATGAGGGTTAAGGCAGTGATGGAAAATAAGAGTGGCCACACAAAATATTGACACTTTGGGCCCAATTTGGACATTTCCACTTAGGGGTGTACTTTTTTTGTTACCAACAGTTTAGACATCAATGACTGTGTGTTGAGGTATTTTGAGGAGACAGCAAATTTACACTGTTATACAGGCTGTACACTTACTACTTTACATTGTAGCAGAGTATAATTTATTCAGTGGTGTCACATAAAAAGATATAATAAAGTATTTACAAAAATGTGAGGGGTGTACTCACTTTTGTGAGATACTGTAGGCTACATTTTGCCATTCAGATTTTAACTTACTTTTAAAAAAATAACATTCTAAGCAATATAACCACTACAGACTGCTATAGTGGTTATGCATAGCTCCCGACGTGTCACATTTCTAAATCAGGACAGGTGGGTGGAGTCACTAGCGATGCCCACAATGGAAGCCGCTAGAGAGGACAATCCCGTCCACAAAGGGGAGGTGCCAGTCTGGAAACTGGGGCAGGCCTGTAACCTGGCCTTCTGAAGTGCTCCCTGCATGGTTTTAGTGCCCCCTAATGATGGTGTAAGCGCCTCTAATGATGGTTCTAGTGCCTCTAATGACTTATGCTGTGCTGCTCCAAAGGCACTTCCCAACTAAGGCAGGACCTCAAAATCGTGACCGTACTGCTAAAAGCTATATAAAATATTATGGTGCCAGGAATACGCCAGCCACCTCTCAATGTTTGACGGTTAAACCATTATAGTACCGTTTGACAACTTCGCCAGGTCCGCTAAGTCCAGCCTTCCCCATCAGGAAAAATTAGACGTCACTACTTCGATCAATACAGAACTCCAATCATTGGCTGAGAGCTGAGTTGAACACTCTTAGCCAATGAGTGTGGTCTTCCACTGGCTTGTTTCGCTCTATAGAGCTATCAAGCTGCTCCTTCTGGAGAAGACCAGAAACCATGCAGGTGGCAAGCGGAACCCAAGTAATTTCTCAAACTATTAAAATGGTATTAAATCTTATCGTGATACAGTGAAAGGCTACTCCTGGCACCATCTCCAGGACATACCTGGAAACCAGAGAATATCTGAATGTACCTTTCCTGATCAAACCCTTTGCAATTATTATAACAACTTCTTAGTTGAAGTGGGAACATTTTCTAAATCAGCGATGCTTTAAGTTTGGCTATTCTAGGCTTAAATTTGAAATTCAGTTTAAATTCTCACTTTTGTAAATAACCCTGTCAGTCTGCTTCTAATGATGCACTACACTTTTGGGGAACAGTTCTCTCCACAAGCAGGACACAAGGGAGCTAAGTTGGGACAGCGGGACAGGACCCAATTCTGTGACAGTCCCGCCAAAACCAGGACAGTTGGGGGACACTCTGAATGTTTACTTTAGAAAATAGACCTGTCACTGTTTCCTGTGCATTGAAGTGATCGTATGTGAGAAAGAGAAAGTCCAATTTGCACTGAACTGCACTACTTAAGTGTTCCTGCTTGTTCTTGGGGCATTTTCCCTTCAGTTTTGTCTTCATCAAGTGAAATGCATGCTCAATCGGATTCAGGTCAGGTGATTGACCTGGCCATTGCATAACATTCCACTTCTTTCCCTTAAAAAACTCTTTGGTTGCTTTTGCAGTATGCTTCGAGTCATTGTCCATCTGCACTGTGAAGCGCCGTCCAATGAGTTCTGAAGCATTTGGCTGAATATGAGCAGATATTGCTCGAAACCCTTCAGAATTCATCCTGCTGCTTTTGTCAGCAGTCACATCATCAATAAATACAAGAAAAGCAGTTCCATTGGCAGCCATACATGCCCCCGCCATGACACTACCACCACCATGCTTCACTGATGAGGTGGTATGCTTTGGATCATGAGCAGTTCCTTTCCTTCTCCATACTCTTCTCTTCCCATCACTCTGGTATAAGTTGATCTTGGTCTCATCTGTCCATAGGATGTTGTTCCAGAACTGTGAAGGCTTTTTTAGATGTTGTTTGGCAAATTCTAATCTGGCCTTCCTGTTTTTGAGGCTCACCAATGGTTTACATCTTGTGGTGAACCCTCTGTATTCACTCTGGTGAAGTCTTCTCTTGATTGTTGACTTTGACACACATACCTCCTGGAGAGTGTTCTTGATCTAGCCAACTGTTGTGAAGGGTGTTTTCTTCATCAGGGAAAGAATTCTTTGGTCATCCACCACAGTTCTTTCTTTTTAAGGATGTTCCAAACAGTTGATTTGGCCACACCTAATGTTTTTGCTATCTTTGATGGGTTTGTTTTGTTATTTTCAGCCTAATGATGGCTTGCTTCACTGATCGTGACAGCTCTTTGGATCTCATATTGAGAGTTGACAGCAACAGATTCCAAATGCAAATAGCACACTTGAAATGAACCCTGGACCTTTTATCTGCTCATTGTAAATGGGATAATGAGGGAATAACACACACCTGGCCATGGAACAGCTGAGCAGCCAATTATCCAATTACTTTTGGTCCCTTGAAAAGTGGGAAGCACATATACAAACTGTTGTAATTCACCTTAGGCCCGGCCTTACCAATACCAATCACGGGCGCATCCCGAATCACTGACTACCACAGACAGCCTTCAGGGCGGGACCCCCCCCGAAGCGGACTTCAGCCACAACAGGGTTGCCCCGAGACTGGGGGTATATAGACACAATAGACCATGTGTTTGACTAAATGCAACGGGAATATCGCAACATGCTAACCCCTTACCCCTTCCCTTTTTTCTCTTCTGTACCCTTTACCCGAACATTTTTTATTTGAAAATGCAATAAATAAAGAATAAAAAAAATAAAAAAACTGTTGTAATTCCTACACCGTTCACCTGATTTGGATGTAAATATCCTCAAATTAAAGCTGAAAGTCTGCAGTTAAAGCACATCGTGTTCATTTCATTTCAAATCCATTGTGTTGGTGTATAGAGCCAAAAAGATTAGAATTGTGTCGATGTCCCAATATTTATGGACCTGACTGTACGTTCTATCCTAGACTCTTGCTGTCTGACTCGAGTTCTGTAAGTTGGATAGTGTATCCATGACATCATTGACCATTTTTCCCATAAAAACACACACATTGCATAAAAAAATGATATTTATTATGGAAGTCAGTTAACGTCGTCTTGCTGCGGACAGTATGCAGCGGCATTAAAGTCGCAGTAACAAAGTATGGGCGAACGCTATAAAGTAACAGGAAGAGTAATTTCATTCAGCAGCAAGAAATGGATGGAAAGTCTCAACAGCGCAGGAAGGGTTAGTAGCAGCGACTGTTTTTGTTAATGTTGTGGAGTGACCAACGTACGATCACGTTTTGCCCCCAATCAGGAGCCTAGCATGCCACTTTATGTTCAAAGTCCAAGCATTTTAAAAGCAGAATATACCGCATCCTGTATATACAGAGGGTAGGTCCTACTATTAGTCACCATCTGTAACGTCGCAAGGAAAAAATAGGAGTAAGGATGCAGGTTAAGCGGTATCTGGGGACACGGTCTTCACTATAAAAATAAGCACAACTCTATCAGAGATAACATATGGCAAAAATGATTACAAAACATGCTAAAGATGATTATCTAAGGTGGTATTTATATTCTCCTAAGGCAATGCCAGCCGTGTGCTCTTTATACTGTTAATTATCCATTTATGATGATCACATTTTTAGACATACCTCCAAGAAACAGCAAAGCACAATCAGACACACAGATACCCTCTAAAACTTGTGCACCTTGTAATGTTTAAAAGAACAGCCAAACATACAGTAACAGTTTTACCGTACTATAATAACAGGTAGTGGGATGCAGAGACACAAATGCTGAAAATTAGACACTGTGATGGACAAAACATTAATTTGAAAGGAGGATATTTAGGAGAAATGAAAAAGAAAGACAGAGAGGGACAGGGAACAAGAAGAGACAGGAAGCTACAAGCATTAAGAACAGAGAGACAGGAAACTACAGGCATCAATAATAGATAGACGGGAAGTTCCCGGGCCACAAATGCAGTGAGAGACAGGATGTTACAGGCAACAAGAACAGAGAAAGGGAGAGTGAAACCTACAGAGAAATAGAGGAAGGACAAGGCCACGAGAACAGAGAGAAACATGAAGCTACAGGGAGCAAAAACAGAGCGAGACAGGAAGTTACAGGCAACAAGAGCAGAGAGACAGGAAGTTACAGGCAGCAAGAGCAGAGAGAGACAGGAAGGTACAGGCAGCAAGAGCAGAGAGAAACAGGAAGGTACAGGCAGCAAGAGCAGAGAGAGACAGGAAGCTACAGGTAGCAAGAACAGAGAGGCAGGAAGCTACAGGTATTAAGAGCAGAGAGAGACAGGAAGCTATAGGTAGCAAGAACAGAGAGACAGGAAGCTACAGGTAGCAAGAACAAAGAGACAGGAAGCTACAGGTAACAAGAGCAGAGAGACAGGAAGCTACAGGTAGCAAGAGCAGAGAGACAGGAAGCTACAGGCAGCAAGAGCAGAGAGACAGGAAGCTACAGGTAGCAAGAGCAGAGAGAGACAGGAAGGTACAGGCAGCAAGAGCAGAGAGAGACAGGAAGCTACAGGCAGCAAGAGCAGAGAGAGACGGGAAGCTACAGGCAGCAAGAGCAGAGAGAGACAGGAAGCTACAGGCAGCAAGAGCAGAGAGAGAGAAAGGAAGCTACATGCAGCAAGAGCAGAGAGACAGGAAGCTACAGGTAGCAAGAACAGAGAGACAGGAAGCTACAGGTAGCAAGAACAAAGAGACAGGAAGCTACAGGTAGCAAGAGCAGAGAGACAGGAAGGTACAGGCAGCAAGAGCAGAGAGAGACAGGAAGCTACAGGCAACAAGAGCAGAGAGAGACAGGAAGGTACAGGCAGCAAGAGCAGAGAGAGACAGGAAGCTACAGGCAGCAAGAGCAGAGAGAGAGAAAGGAAGCTACATGCAGCAAGAGCAGAGAGACAGGAAGCTACAGGTAGCAAGAACAGAGAGACAGGAAGCTACAGGTAGCAAGACCAAAGAGACAGGAAGCTACGGGTAGCAAGAGCAGAGAGACAGGAAGCTACAGGTAGCAAGAGCAGAGAGACAGGAAGCTACAGGCAGCAAGAGCAGAGAGACAGGAAGCTACAGGCAGCAAGAACAGAGAGAAAGGAAGCTACAGGCAGCAAGAACAGAGAGAAAGGAAGCTACAGGCAGCAAGAACAGAGAGACAGGAAGCTACAGGTATCAAGAGCAGAGAGACAGGAAGCTACAGGTAGCAAGAACAGAGAGAAAGGAAGCTACAGGCAGCAAGAGCAAAAAGACAGGAAGTTACAGGTATCAAGAACAGAGAGAAAGGAAGCTACAGGCAGCAAGAGCAGAGAGAGACAGGAAGCTACAGGCAACAAGAGCAGAGAGAGACAGGAAGCTACAGGTAGCAAGAACAGAGAGAGACAGGAAGCTACAGGTAGCAACAACAGAGCGAGACAGGAAGCTACAGGTAGCAAGAACAGAGAGACAGGAAGCTACAGGTAGCAAGAGCAGAGAGACAGGAAGCTACAGGTAGCAAGAACAGAGAGACAGGAAGCTACAGGTAGCAAGAGCAGAGAGACATGAAGCTACAGGTAGCAAGAGCAGAGAGACAGGAAGCTACAGGCAGCAAGAGCAGAGAGAGACAGGAAGCTACAGGCAGCAAAAGCAGAGAGACAGGAAGCTACAGGCAGCAAGAGCAGAGAGAGACAGGAAGCTACAGGCGGCGGTATAGATAAGAAGACAGAACGATCAGCTACAGGTAGCAAGGGCAGAGCGAAATAGAAAGCTTTAGGCAGAATTAATCACAAGAGGCACTGAACGAATGATGTTTAAAAAAGAAAATACAAGCAGAGATAAAGGATGCTACTTGCAGATTGAAGACAAAATACAGGCAGCAGAAAAGTTACACACCATAACTACAAACACCATAACTACAAACTATAAGGAAATAGGGGGTAGTTGGGATAATTAAAAAAAAAAACTAAAACCAAGATGTAAAATCTGTAGACAGCAAAAACAATTAGAGGAAGAAATCTACAATGGGAAGGAAGGTTTAGTGGCAAGAATCTGCAAGGCAATAAGAACAAATAGGATTAGGAATCTACAGACAGCAGGAATGATTAGAGGAAGGAATCTACAGACAGCAGGAATGATTAGAGGAAGGAATCTACGGACAGCAGGAATGATTGGAGGCAGAAATCTACAGACAGCAGAAATGATTGGAGGCAGAAATCTACAGACAGCAGGAATGATTGGAGGCAGAAATCTACAGACAGCAGGAAAGATTGGAGGAAGGAATCTATAGACGGTTGGAATGGTTGGAGGCAGGAATCTAAAGATAGCAGGAATGATTACAGACTGGAAACTACAGACAGCAGAAATGAAGGGAGGCAGGAATCTTCAAACAGCATGAATGAATGGACATGGAATCTAAAGACAGCAGGAATGATTGGAGGAAGGAATCTAAAAATAGTATGAATTATCACAGACTGAAAATCTACCGGCAGCAGGAATGATTAGAGGCGGGTATTTATAGATAGCAGGAATGATTAGAGGCGGGTATTTACAGATAGCAGGAATATTAGAGGCGGGTATTTATAGATAGCAGGAATGATTAGAGGCGGGTATTTATAGACATAAGGAATGATTAGAGGTAGATATTTACAGATAGCAGGATTGATTACAAGCAGGTATTTATAGATAGCAGGAATGATTAAAGGCGGGTATTTACAGATAGCAGGAATGATTAGAGGAGGGTATTTACAGATAGCAGGAATATTAGAGGCGGGTATTTATAGATAGCAGGAATGATTAGAGGCGGTTATTTACAGATAGCAGGAATGATTAGAGGAGGGTATTTACAGATAGCAGGAATATTAGAGGCGGGTATTTATAGATAGCAGGAATGATTAGAGGCGGGTATTTATACATAGCAGGAATGATTAGAGGTAGATATTTACAGATAGCAAGAATGATTAGAGGTGGGTATTTACAGATAGCAGGAATGATTAGAGGCGGGTATTTATAGATAGCAAGAATGATTAGAGGTGGGTATTTACAGATAGCAGGAATAATTAGAGGCGGTTATTTATAGATAGCAGGAATGATTAGAGGCAGGTATTTATAGACCGAAGGAATGATTAGAGGCATGTATTTACAGATAGCAGGAATGATTAGAGGCGGGTATTTATAGACATAAGGAATGATTACAGGTAGATATTTACAGATAGCAGGAGTGGTTAGAGGCGGGTATTTATAGACAGAAGGAATTATTACAGGTAGATATTTACAGATAGCAAGAGTGATTAGAGGCAGGTATTTACAGATAGCAGAAATATTTAGAGGCGGGGATATTTACAGATAGCAGAGAAAGCAGAAAACTACAGGCAACAGACACATGAAGAACAGGAAACTACAAGACACAGAGTAATTGGGCAAAGAAAAATTATTAGAAAGAAGGAAGCTACAAGCAGCAGAAATAATAAGAGATGGGAGTATAGAATGCAGAATGGACACAGCATATAATAAGACAAAATATAAACAAACAAACAAAACAATAATTATTCAGAATGGGAATAGAATTAGGTTAGAGATGATATAAGTGGTAGGGAAAGACACATGTACTAAAAGGAATAATTATAGAGTTTGTATGTTATGTACACACATACATACATATAAACACATGAAAATGAAACATGATACACTTGTCTCTCCACTCAGTTCTGTCCTTTACACACATACATCCAGATGAGTTCTGCTTCGAAACATAAACTCATATGTGAATCCAAAGGGTCCGTATTGGCTCAAAAAGTACTGCAGTGTGGAGGGGACACAGGTTTCTACATGGGCTGGGGACCTGCAGAGCGGATGCTGAAGTATTCAGGGAAGCCATTCTGATTATGGATTTGAGGGGCATGGAGCTGCTGAAGACTCCCAAGTTGTGTCTCCCCAACTGGTATCTTCTGACTTCCAGGGGCACCATTCAGTGGTGGCGGAGTGACTACCTGATGAGGGTCAGAGGTCAGCTGGGAATAGTGCTGCCCGAGGGTCACAGGATATTGTGATGGTTTATTTACCTACAGAGGTGAGTGAGAAAAAAGGTACGTGAGCAATAACATATGGCAAATACATACATATATAACAAATAGCTGACACATAATGCTGAAACATGTATTTTTGGCAATGTCTCTAGAACCTCTGAGATGGTATTATTTCCTTAAATAAAGCTATTTCCCTTTAGTAATATGCAGAGAGAGGGTCTGTGGAGAAAGAGTTACTCTGTCTCCCTAGGCACGCTCCTGGTTTAAGAGAGAGGCCGCATTAGCGACAACACCGCAGTAGCAGCAGCTGCCCACTATAGTTAACAAATCATATCTGTATATGCTCAGATTTCTAGACTGCCGGACAGATTTATTGGAGAAAGAGATCACAAGTAAGTTCCTTTCTCATCCTCTTACATGTAGATTTGCCGGGACACTTAAAAAGGATCAAACGCAATAATGTATCAATGTTAATAATGTACGTCATGTTGCAATTTCATCACAATTTTCTAACTCTCACTGATAGTTACTGATACATTAGAAACAAGGCGGCACAGAACACGATAAGTCAACAGCCAAGTTCAATAATTTGCAGAGTGGTTATTGCTTTTCTCTCTATGCAAGAAAAAACAATGTTTCTTTTGAAAACTCGGTTAATGCTTTATGATCTGTGTCTAAAATCTTGTATTTGATTTTAACAGAAAACACTAAAAAAAAAAAAAAGTCTCTCACCACTCCTGTAGTACCATTGCAGTTCGGGATAGAGAACAGCTCAGTGACATTGGGGACAGAATCACTGATAAAGGTGACGTTTCCATAGACGTGGTGGGGAAACTTTTCTGTGCTCTGCTCCATGATCCCAATCTGAGAGGTGCGCACGTGGTATGGAAAATTCTTATTGGCTGCAGAAGGTCTTGTGATCACCTGAGGTTGGGAATAGATTTGAAAATATTGTTTTGGGGATATTTCGTTACGAAATTTGTGTACAGCTTTTTTTTTTTTTTTACAGAATTCAGTGAATAAATAGGGGACTATATACTATTATCTGTGTCTACAGAAATAATACTAGTGGATAATCAATACATTGTTAAATTCAGATCTGCACAGCAGTCAAGCCATAAGACTTGTTTTTCCCACCAAAATCTCAAATCTGAAGTGATATTACTACTGCAAGGGATTCTGGGTGGGCATATGCAAATTAGTTCAACAAAGAATCACCTTCTGGCCTCATTATTCCATTTTAAACATGGATTACTTAGGTGTTGTCTTTGCTGTATACAACATCTTTGAAACACAACTCAGGAGAGATGCAAAGCCAGTTAACCACTCATGCAACTCATCAGCATTAGGTTGGTTACTGGCTTGCTAGTGAGGCTTGACGTTACTTGCAGAGTTGTGTTTCAAAGCAGTTGTATACAGCAAACGGAATGCAGGTTTAAAATGGTATAATGAGGCAAAAAGGTGATTCTTTGTTGAACTAATTTGCATATGAACACCCAGAATCCCATGCAGTAGTAACATCACTGCAAATTTGAGTTTTCTGTGGGCAAAGCCATCACCTTTTTCCCCACCATAACGTTCTTGGTTTGTGCTCCAGATTAATAATACGTAGACTGTCACTTTCTAGTGTTGCAAGCATTACATCCCAAACCATGCAAATGCACCATACTCAAAAATTAATCAATAAGAAGGTTATCGTTGTTGTGAGAGTTTATTAAAAGTTATGTTACATGGCGTATTCCTACCAAAATGAGTGAGGACATACATAAATAAATATCTATATATACACACACACATATATATATATACACACACACAAACGCACACTCATTTAAACGCAGTCCCTGCACTGAGTAGAAGACGCGTTTTGCGCCTCCTCAAAGATGCTTTGTCAACTGGCATTACAGCCAAATACAGCTGGAAAGCCTATTTTCCTTTACTAGCTGAAAAAGATAAAGAGATCTAACCAGTAACAATCTGCAAATACGAAATTTAATAACATACAATTTTCTATATTGATCCAAAAGCAATCTTCACACAATTTACTTTGTGCTTGAAGTTAGATAAAAGAATGCAGGCATTTTATGACGGTATCTGTTTAAGCTATAATCACCTCTGTAATATCGTCCAAACAGACTGTAACTGGAGAAGTGAGTGATCAGACGATGAGCACGAAGCCAGGGTCATTTGCCAGCTGACAGCAGATGTTGTTAGACATAATGTATTCTATTCGCACGTCAAGGCTTAGAGCTGACTTTGCAGCAATATTCTAGGTAAAAGAAGACTTTTTAACCCATTCTTTTTCCGAGGTGCACTGTCTGCTCGAAGCAGTGATAAGCTAAAGTTATTCAACACCGTAAGCTAGGATTTTATTTGCTCTCAACCTCACAACAGTTAAAGCTTATTGATATTGTTAAAGTGCTAGAGTTTAAAAGAAGACATTACACTAACCAGCCATAACATTAAAGCCACCTGCCTAATATTGTGTAAATCCCCCTCATGCTGCCAAAGCAGCTCTGATGTGTTAAGGCATGAACTCCACAAGACGTCTGCACTGTGTGTTCTGACACCTTTCTATCATGGCCAGAATTATGTATTTCAGCTATTGGAGCTATAGTAGCTCTTCAGTGTGATCGGACTCATAACCCAGACGCATGTTCACCGGTTGTACTTCCTTGCAACACTCAGAATTGTTGCCTTGTCCATTTTTTCTGCTTCCAACACATTATATTCAAGAATTGACAGTTCACTCGCTGCCTACTATATCCCACCCCTTGACAGGTGCCGTTGTAACGATATAATCAATGTTATTCACTTCACCTAAAAGTGGTTTTAATCTTGTGGTTGATCAGCATAAGTACCATAACTACTACAGCACATTGTAGTGGTTATGGTGCCAGGAGTGCCATGGTTTGCACAGAACACCTCCAAAGAAAGTATATAAACCGTTTGCTAACAGTTTGACAACTTACCTGGGGTCCGCTGGCAACTCTGAGTAAAGCCTAGTGGTGCAGGGCTTAGCTCATTGGCTGAGAGCAATCAGAGGTTTAGGAAGCTCAAATAAGGAGGTTTCAGCTCTCAAAGAATGAAGTGATCGTGAGCAGCTAGTGCCCGGGTAGTTGTCAAATAATTAGCAAATAGTTTGACTACTTACCCTGGGGGTCTCAAGACCCACCTGTAATGATAACCACTATGGTGCTTGCATAGCTCATTTTAATCAAGCAGAGCTCATAGTATAACATTTACGCAAAAACTGTGAATTTGGAAAAAGATGTCAGTTTGCGTCTTTAACAGAAATGGCATTGCTTTAAATTCTTGTGGTTTCACTACAAGTGAGGTTATAGTATGGTAAAAAGGCAAGAAAATGTGTTGGAATGTTCAATTTAAAACTTAAGAAACATTGATTCCAGGGGGGAAAAAAATATCAATGTACTCTAATAATTTTTCGATTAAAAGAAACTGGACTATTTCTCTTTTTTAGCACGTGGCTCATACTCACCAGGAAGACAATATGTGCGTAGAGGTGAATTCCAAGTTGGATCCCATTCACAATCTTCTCACGGGCCCATTTAGGAATTCCAAAATTAGCTATCAGCGCCATAACTGGAACTGCAAAGAACCTGCACATACAAAATCTTAGCCAAAATCAAGACTTTCAGCAGCAGCACAGACTACCTCTACCAGACCAGAACGACACCTGATTAACCCCTTAAGGACCAAACTTCTGGAATAAAAGGGAATCATGACATGTCACACATGTCATGTGTCCTTAAGGGGTTAAACAACTAATAGATGCAGCTTAATAAATAGAAACTATGGTCGTTTAACTACTTCATAAGCCCTTGTTACAGCTCTCCCTCTCTTCACTAATCTGCTGCCCTCTTATACTCACCAGAGTGTATAAGCAGCAAAAAATGGCACATAGAATGCCTGCTTCTCGGGAAAGTGTTTTAGCGTCACTAACACGGCATAACAAAACCAGATATATGCCAAGAACTGCAAGGCGATGTTCCCGTAACCTGCCGGTGATTCGTAGGTGTACAGAACCTGAGCTGGGTCAAAGAACTGTAAAGGGAGGGAGAGAAACGTGTAGTTGAGCTGGTTGGAGCACACACATGGATGGGACACGTTTCAACATTCAGGTAGCATGTCACATGTGACTAGACTGTTTCTCACCTGTGCCTCATTTATAAACAGCACGGTGTGTGTTACCGTGTACAACGTCATATACACTGACAGCTTAATGGATCCCAGGTGACTAATGCGACCCCTGTAAAAAGAGATATTGATTCAGTACAAAGAAATTAAAAATCTCTATTTATATACTGTGACGCTGTCACGTGACTAGTGTGGCTGATGGGTAACTTCATGCAGTTAAAGTGATATGAGAATATTTATCAAAGTGTTCTGAAAAATGAAGCTTAAAGTCTGTCTTAATTTTGATCGTATTTATTAGAGATCTAAAAAGTGATGGTTTTCTTTATGGTAAATTCTGAGCGTTTTCATACAAATTGGAAGAAGACTGCTAAACTAACAGTGACTGGAAAAATCGGCCACTTTCCTGTTGGGAAAAATGAATACATTTGTTGCATCACCAAAAAATGTCATATATTAAAAAGAATTATGGCTATGGCACAAAAAAGTCATAGATCAAAAAAGAAATCAGGCATGTTTTGTCACAAATTGGTCTAAAAATGAAACATAAATGTGCCGGTGGCACTTTGATAAAAACTCCCCATACAGAGCAGCAGGCAGTATAGTAAAGATGGCCAGGCCCACTCAGTGTGCCCACTGGACAGGTCACATTAAACCAGACCCTTGACAGCTCTTCAATAATGGTCAACCAAGAACTCATCAGTCCAAATATGAGAAAGCTCTTGGGCCAGGCCTAATGCAGAGTTAAACACTCTAAAAATAGTTCATCATGCAATCTTGCTGAATGAAAGTCTAGTCTGCTTTCTGGGGGTTGTCAAACTAGCTGCACTCTATAATTTCTGTGTAGCATTCATAAACCACTAGAGGGGAATTCAATGAACAAATCAAAGCAATTACTTTGAGAGTCATTTTTATTTAATGGATTTATATCCATTCCTGCAGAACATGAATGCTGCATACTAAAATTAAACACTTTACATGTCCTATCCATCAGCATGTATAGGTGATATGTACCTGGTAGTTCTGACAAGAGTAATAACAACACATAGGCATTGATTGAAGTGGATGCATGCATTGCGATAAAGTTAACATTCTTGCTCTTAGCAAACCAATTTAGCAATATCAGCTTAAGGACAAAGATACGTTTATATCCTTGCAAAGATCAATACATGGTGTAGTTACACATACTCTCCATTAGAGGTCACTACATGCGTTCATATAGATGCAGTGTAACTTCTAATTCCAAGATCCTAATTGTATACGTAATAGGGATATCATGTCATTAGCAGCAAAAAAAGCGGTTACATTTCTGATCTCCTGGGACTATCGGCATTAAAGCAGATAATTCCTGTTCTCATGTCACTATTGTGCTTTACCTAGTTACATTACGGATTGCATGCTGATATTGGTAATTGATCAGTTACATTACGTATTGGTAATTGATCAGTTACATTACGTATTGCACGCGGATATTGGTAATTGATCAGTTACATTATGTATTGCACGCGGATATGGGTAACTGATCAGTTACACTACGTATTGGTAACTGATCAGTTACATAACGGATTGCATTCTGATATTGGTAATTGATCAGTTACATTACATATTGGTAATTGATCAGTTACATTACGTATTGCACGCGGATATTGGTAATTGATCAGTTACATTATGGATTGCATACTGATATTGGAATTTGATCAGTTACACTACTGATTGCATGCTGATATTGGGAATTGATCAGTTACATTACTGATTGCATGCTGATATTGGGAATTGATCGGTTACATTACGGGTTGCATGCTGATATTGGGAATTGATTAGTTACATTACTGATTGCATGCTGATATTTGGAATTGATCAGTTACATCACTGATCTCATGCCACTGTACACAAATAGCCAGCCCTGTTAAAGGACCACTATAGTGCCAGGAAGACATACTCGTTTTCCTGGCACTACAGTGCCCTGAGGGTGCCCCCACCCTCAGGGTCCCCCTCCCGCCGGTCTCTAGGGGGAGGAAGTGGTTAAACTTACCTCTTTCTCCAGCACCGGGCGGGGGACTCTCCTCCTCCACAGTGACGTCATCGGCTGAATGCACATGCGCGGCAGGAGCCGCGCTCGCATTCAGCCAGTCCATTTTCAATGCTTTTCTATGGACGCTGGCGCCTTCTCACTGTGAAAATCACAGTGAGAAACGCGGAAGCGCCTCTAGCGGCTGTCAATGAGACAGTCACTAGAGGCTGGATTAACCCATTTATAAACATAGCAGTTTCTCTGAAACTGCTATGTTTATAGAAAAAAGGGGTAAACCTAGCTGGACCTGGCACCCAGACCACTTCATTAAGCTGAAGTGGTCTGGGTGCCTATAGTTGTCCTTTAATGCCTCCAAACTAGGGTTGCCAGATTCACCATGTTATCCTGCCCTGTCGATTGTTGAATTAATCTGAACAGGATCCCTTGTTGATTAATGACTAATTGCACTTTTCAGGTGCTGCCCTTTAGGTGGTATGTGTCCAGGAAGACAGGGTGCCTCTGGCAACCCAACGTTACACAGTGCAGTATAGAGTGGGATAGCCCCAGAGCCTGTCCTGCTGTTTTATTTTGGGTTGAGTAGTAGTATGATGATGTGACTTCTCTTGGCCTGTATTTGTCCAGTATCTGCTCCCGGGATAGGGCATTTGTCGGAGCAGCACAGCGTAACCTGTGTTGACAGAGTGCATGCAGTGTAGATAGAATGATGATGTGTGGCACGTTTTGCCATAATTTAGCATGGTTTTAGATTAGTGTCCCTGTTTTACCTGGTAACCGTAAACCCTTTTCCCAACAGGATCAACATCAGCAGAAAGATCAGGAAACTGGCAGAGAACAGGAGTTTAGCTGCAAGAGAGAAAAGTGCTGAGAACATTGGAAGATACTGCATAGCAATAAGAACACGGTCAGACATCACACAGCGCTGAGTACTCAGTCAGACATTGCACAGCGCTGAATACATGCTCAGGCATTACACAGTGCTGAGTACACAGTCAGACATCACACAGCAATGAGTACAGGGTCAGACATCACACAGTGCCGAGTACTCCGTCAGACATCACACAGCGCTGAGTACAAGGTCAGACATCACACAGTGCTGAGCACACGGTCAGACATCACACAGCGCTGAGTACACGGTCAGACATCACACAGTGCTAAGAGCACAGTCAGACATTACACAGCAATGAGTACACAATCAGATATCACACAGCACTAAGTACTCAGTCAGACATCACACAGCGCTGAGTACACGGTCACACAGCAATGAGTGCACGGTCAGACATCACACAGTGCTGAGTATACGGTCAATCATCACACAGTGCTAAGTATATGGTCAGACATCACACAGTGCTGAGGACATGGTCAGAAATCACACAGTTCTGAGGAAACGGTCAGACATCACACAGTGCGGAGTACACAGTCAGACATCAGACAGTGCTGAGTACACAGTCAGGCATCACACAGTGCTGAGTACACGGTCAGACATCACACAGCGCTGAGTAAATGGTCAGACATCACACAGTGCTGAGTACACAGTCAGGCATCACACAGCGCTGAGTAAACGGTCAGACATCACACAGTGCTGAGTACACAATCAGGCATCACACAGCGCTGAGTAAACGGTCAGACATCACACAGTGCTGAGTACAAGGTCAGAAATTACACAGTGCTGAGTAAACAGTCAGGCATCACACAGTGCTGAGTACACAGTCACACATCACACAGTGCTGAGTACACGGTCAGAAATCACACAGTGCTGAGTCAGACATTACACAGTGCTGAGTACACAGTCAGGCATCAAAGTGCTCTAATTACACAAACACCACACTCAAAAACTACACAGTACTGAGTACACAGTCGGAAACTGCAAACCACTGATCACACAGTTAGACTGGGACACTACAAAGCACAGGGCAAACAGTAAGTCATAACAAACCATTGAACACAGTCAGTGTTGTATTCTGTATATACACAATAACATTTTGCATACTGACCTAGTACCTTGATGCTGGGGTTGCCCACTCCATCCTGTGCATATTGCCCCCAGTATAGGCAGAAAAACAGCAAGCTGAGAACTGGAAATATCAGAGGCTGTTACGTGCTGGAAGAGATCATGAACAATAGAGGGCGACAGCGAGAACAGATGGAGCTCATACAAGACTGGAAAATGAGAGCTAAAACAGGGTGAGCCAGTATGTCCTCTGTACGACGGCATCACCCAGACACAGGCATGTATTCTGCTGTGTCTGATTATTGTATGTCGCTGCAGAATACGATGGGAGATTTATCACAGTGTCACTGACACTTTTCCTTAAAATTTTTGCAAATAAAATTGCGGTGATATTTTGCCGCAATTTCTGAAATTCTGTCAATTTTTTCTTCAGTTGCTCTATTTTTGCGCCCTAATCGTTATTTTTAAATCTGCACCATTTCTTCACCAACGCAACAGAGTTATCAATATTTCCAACAGAAAAGTGGTGGAATATTTCTGCCACTATAGATCTAGCAGTCTTCTGAAGTTTACATCTCTGTGAAATCTTACAGAATATACTACGAGATGAAAACCGTCACTTTTTACATCACTAATAAATATGATAATAATAAATCACTCTCCATCACACTATGACAAATATCTCCCATAGTGCTTATAACAATATTATGGAGCTCATAGAGTACTGTGACACTCACCCTCCACTGCGGCTGCAGCCATGAACATTTTATACGTGGTGTGAAGAAGCTGCCGTCCCCTTAATATATCTGGAGAGATAAAAGGGAACAGAATACATGGACTTTAACCCATGTAAGAATAAAGAATACACAGGCTGTAACAAACAGAATACACAGGCTGTAACCCATGTAGCATACAGAATACACAGGCTGTAACAAACAGAATACACAGGCTGTAACCCACACAGCATATAGAATACACAGGCTGTAAACAAACAGAATACACAGGCTGTAACCCAAACAGCATACACAGGCTGTAACAAACAGAATACACAGGCTGTAACCCAAACAGCATACAGAATACACAGGCTGTAACAAACAGAATACACAGGCTGTAACCCATGTAGCATACAGAATACACAGGCTGTAACAAACGGAATACACAGGCTGTAACCCACACAGCATACAGAATACACATGCTGTAACAAACAGAATACACAGGCTGTAACCCACACAGCATATAGAATACACAGGCTGTAAACAAACAGAATACACAGGCTGTAACAAACAGAATACACAGGCTGTAACCCAAACAGAATACAGAATACACAGGCTGTAACAAACAGAATACACAGGCTGTAACCCATGTAGCATACAGAATACACAGGCTGTAACAAACAGAATACACAGGCTGTAACCCACACAGCATACAGAATACACAGGCTGTAACAAACAGAATACACAGGCTGTAACCCACACAGCATACAGAATACACATGCTGCTGTAACAAACAGAATACACAGGCTGTAACCCACACAGCATATAGAATACACAGGCTGTAACAAACAGAATACACAGGCTGTAACCCACACAGCATACAGAATACACAGGCTGTAACCCAAACAGCATACAGAATACACAGGCTGTAACAAACAGAATACACAGGCTGTAACCCACACAGCATATAGAATACACAGGCTGTAAACAAACAGAATACACAGGTTGTAACCCACACAGCATACAGAATACACAGGCTGTAACAAACAGAATACACAGGCTGTAACCCACACAGCATATAGAATACACAGGCTGTAACAAACAGAATACACAGGCTGTAACCCAAACAGCATACAGAATACACAGGCTGTAACAAACAGAATACACAGGCTGTAACCCAAACAGCATACAGAATACACAGGCTGTAACAAACAGAATACACAGGCTGTAACCCATGTAGCATACAGAATACACAGGCTGTAACAAACAGAATACACAGGCTGTAACCCACACAGCATACAGAATACACAGGCTGTAACCCACACTACATACAGAATACACAGGCTGTAACAAACAGAATACACAGGCTGTAACCAATGTAGCATACAGAATACACAGGCTGTAACCCACACACCATGTAGAATGCACTTGTACATTAATATTCACTGTTCTGTACACTGTATACCCAAATCCAATAAATTAGGCGCAGAGTAGGGATAGACCAATTATCGGTTCCAATTATTTTTAGAGTCAATATTCGGCACATTTCTGATAATCGGTATTGGTACTGTAATTTACCAATATCACCAATAAATCACTAACTTCTCCCAGTCACTGCACGCTGTCTTCCGCATCCAGAAACTCCAACCACCAACCAATGAGGTTCCACGTCGCGACCCCACGTCATCCCTCCCAGTGAGTTCCTGAATGAGGAGCTCAGCTGACGTCAGGAAGGTGAATAATCTATTGTAATGTTCTGGGCTGGCTGACAGAGTGATAGGAGTGTGACTGCTGTCATCAATCACACTCCTATCAGTAAGAGCACTGTACAATCTCAATGATTCCAGCATGTACTAGCTGCCTGAGAGTAATAGGAGTGTGGTTGCTGGCAGCATGTTCAGTCAATGCCAGATTTGTATAGAAATTGTGTTGCTTTGTCAAAACTTAAAATTTACAGAATATCGACACCTATTATCGGCAATTGGCTCAAAAGGCATCTGATAATCTATATTTGCTCTGGAGAAATTATTTTACTCAATCCCTCAATTATTTCACTCAGTCCCTAGTTTGAGTAATAGCCATATAAAACACTATTACCATATTATGTGGTCTCTCAACTGAAGTCAAATGGAGTTCAATTCCAGGAAACCACTAAACCTTGCAGCCTATGCTGGTACCTGTGAAGTTGCTCAGTTAAGTTGAAAGTTCATTAACCAAAATTTCAGAATGTCACAGTCCAATCAGTGGGGATTCAATATTTCCCAAATCTGACAGACCTACAAGACGTTCCCAGTAATAACAGTTAGCAAACTCTTAAGGCAAATTCCACGGTTTAGGGAACCCAGACAGAGAGGGTAAGGCACACTTAACACTCAACAATAATTGCAAATGTGGTGGATACTCACATCCAAAATAAGTCGATACGAGCAGGATCAGGGTGAAGATCAGGAGAAAGGTTATATCTGTTTCAAGGATTCCTGCATAAAAAAAAAAAACACACCATGCTGAATGTAAAATACCAAACAATGGTGTTAAAGGGCAACTACCAACACTTCACTTCTTATCTCTGAATCACTTGTCCTCACTGAAGATGCAAAATAATAGTAATCCCAGTTGTGTTATCTAAAGAAAGCATCTGGCATGTTCAAAATCATGGGCTCATGGGCTTCAAGGGCTCTACGTGGACTCTACTGCCCCAATAAAATAAAATAAAAAAATTAAAACTACTGTTTTTTTAGTAGATATACCTCGAATAAAAACACGCATGCCTTTAATTTAGCATTTTTTCATTGGAGTTATATCTAAAAACTGCTTTCAAAAGCCATAGATTTCATGTTTGTAGCCTTTGCAAGCCCTCCCCTTCTAACCCCGCCTATACTTTCTGTGGCTGTCCAATCACAGACTTCCCAATGCAGCTCAATGAGAAGTGTTGCACGGCAGGTTCTCTGGGCAACTGCTGCCTCTTGAGTACAGTGCAAATAACCTAACCAAACCAGGAAGTAACAGGACCAGTTGTCTGATTGACAGCCAGAGAGTGCAACAAGGTTAATTTATAAAAGTATCAATTTCTTTTCAAATCTGAACTTTTTGTAAAGTGTTTTAGGGGCTGGAGTGTAATTTTAACTCCCCAATAGCATATTGAGAATGTTACTTGACTTCCTGTTCTTAATAATTTTTATTTATTGCTTTTTTGTTTGTTTTATTGATTGTAAGTTTTATTGAGTGAGTTTTGAGAAAACATAGGATTGGAAATAATTTCCATATTTTTGCTGCAAGTAAATGTAACAGTTTCTAAAATAAAATACACAATGTAGCAAAAAGTCAATGTATTTTTAATGTAATTAATTCAAATATGGCAGATTCACTTAAACTTGTCATTTTTTTTTTTTTTTTAATTCTTTATTTTTCACTCAATAGACGCAGCAAGTATTCATCAACTTTTTGGGCTTACGCAGAAGCCAATGTGAATTCAATTCTCATAAGCATAACATAGTGCAACAAATATGATCTACGCCCATTCCTTAAGAAACTATTGGTACCTGTCGTCTACAAAGGTTTTTTTTTTTTTTTTTTTGTTTGTGTCATATTATAGGTTATAGCAAGTACATGGCCAACTTAAATGCTTACGCAGAAGCCAATGGCAAGCAACACTGCCTTGGGCACAAGAGGCGTATATCCATTACATATCGATAAGTCATGTTGAAATCGTTGGTGCCTTGCTACCCGTCTAGAGTTTTTGGATGAACTGTATGCTTTCACTCAACGGGTGGAACAATTGCATAGAAACCTTCAGGCTTACGCAGAAGCCCGCTTAGAGATTTGTAAAAAGCTAAGATATATATATCAGGTAGGCCAAGCGAGATCTACCCGCGTTCCCCTCCGGTCGCTGCCCCATTAAGGGAGCTGTCACCTGTCTCACAGGCATATTGGCTATATTTGGGACCCAGTCTACTACACTGCGTGTTATAGCCCTTTCTATGTATGGGTATCCCAGCACTTCTGACAGCTTGATTAAACCTATCGTGGAGAAACACTAATCTCTTGGCTATCAAGAGATAGAGAGAACGGAGAAGAGAGAAAAATAGATAGCAGGAAAAGGGACAGGAGACAAAAGTACAGTAGAAAGAGAAAAGTAAGAAGAGAAAAAGATCAGAGGAAAGGAAAAAGAAAAGAGAGAGGAAGGGGGAGGGGGGGGGGAGCCCTCATTCCAACAGTAGTGCAATCAAAATGTCCTCGGGAGAGAAGGGGAGGGGGATCGATAAGTGTACCCAGTCTATGCTATGGTCCGTTCCCTGTCAGTCACTGCTCGAGCCCACTGGGCTATTGTCCCACGGTTCCCAAAGTTTTTGGAAAGTTACAGTCGTACCCTTTATCCTGGCAGTCAAATCGTCCATAATCCTGCATTCACGTACCCTGGAGATCACCCCAGAAAAAACCGGTCCCTCCGGTTTCAGCCACTTAATTGCTATCTCTCTACGCGCGCTTAGAGTTATTTTATGAGCTAATCTCTGTTCTCTCTTGGTCCACCCTTCTACTGTTCTATTCAGCAAATATGTCCAGGGGTCTAACTTCAGGGGTTTATCAAAGGTTTGTTCCAAGAGTTCCTCCACCGCTTTCCAGAAGCCGTGTAATTTCGAGCATTTCCACCACATATGGATGTACGTTCCGCGTAATCCGCAGCCTCTCCAGCAAACGTCCGTATCTAGTTTATGCATGTTGTACAGTTTCACTGGTGTGGTATACCACCTGAACATAGTCTTCCATGTCTGTTCCTGGAGCGTAACACATATGGAAGCATTTTTATTAGATTCCCATATCTCCTGCCATTCAAGTCCTTCCAGGGCCTCTCCAAGGTCCGCCTCCCATTGCTCAGTATACGTTAAACTCCCCCACTCTTTGTTTTCTATACTAAGGTGTGTATACAGAAGTGTGATCATACCTTTAGGTGCCATTTCCTCTGAACACAATTTCTCGAAGAAAGTCAGTTGTTTCTGTGCCGCGGCTCTAATACGTGGCCTTCGGGCAAAATCCCGTATCTGGACATATCTGAAAAAATCTGCCGGTGTTAAATGGCGGTCTTGTTGTAACTCCTCGAATTGGACTATTTCTCCGTTGCGGTATAACTGATGGATCCGTTGTAGGCCGGTATTTTCGATATTTCGGAAATCTCTTGGAGCCATGCCGGGAGGAAACTCTCTGTTTCTAAGAATAGGGGTGAGAGGGGACGGGGTTGACGCTAGCCCGTATTTGGCATTAGTCATGTCCCAAATATGTAGCGAGTTGAGTATAGCCGGGCAGGTCACTCTTATCATTGGCCGATGTTCTTTAGGGACCCACATCGTAAATTGGGGTATATCCGATCCTACCAGCATGGACTCAACCTCTACCCACCTTCTTTCTTCCGGTGGGGAGTGCCACATGGCTATCTGCGTCAGTTGTGCTGCAAGATAGTAGAAATATAGATTAGGTAAGCCGAGCCCCCCTCTATCTTTGCGTCTATACAGGATCTTTCTTGATATTCTGTGCCTCCTATTCTGCCATATGAAATCCCCTATCGCTTTTTGTAGTGGGGATAGTTGTGCTTTCGTAAGTTGAACAGGTAGTGCTTGAAATAAGAATAAGAGGCGTGGGAGGATATTCATCTTGACTGAATTTATCCGACCTATCCAGGAGATGGGTTTATCCACCCAGTTTTCTAGATCTTGCGTTAAAGCCCTGAGCATCGGAGTATAATTCGCAGAGTATAGTCTTTCCGGATCTGCCGTCAGGTGGATACCTAAGTATGTCAGAGAAACCTTTTCCATCCGTATATGGAAGGTCTCCTGTATTTCCTTTGTTTCCGTTTCCAATAGGCCCACTGACATAGCACTGGATTTGTGCATATTTGCTTTATAACCGGACACTGTTCCATATGCTGTCATTACCTCTTGTAACGCCGACATCGAAGTAACCGGGTCTGTTACGGTCAGGAGGACATCATCAGCATATGCCGAGACGGTAAATTCTTTATTCCCAACTCTGACCCCTCTAATGTTGGGATGCTTGCGTATTGTTTGCAGCAAGGGTTCCAGTGCTAAGACAAAGAGAAGGGGGGAAAGCGGACATCCCTGCCTGGTCCCATTAAATAAACGAAAAGGTTTCAGTGGGGCTCCAGTTATCAGCACTTGTGCCCTCACCTCATGATACATCGCTCTTACCACCGTTATGTATTCCACCGGAAATTCCAAATGTTTTAAAACGGAGAACAGGAATTGCCACCGAACCCTATCAAAGGCCTTTTCAGCATCGATAGACACTATCAGGGTGGGTGTCCTGGTGATCTCTTGTTTCCATATCAGGTCAACATTCCTCCTTGTATTTTCAAATAATTGTCTCCCTTGGATAAAACCTACTTGGTCTGGATGTATGAGTGAGGCCAGCAACGGATTCAATCTATCCGCCTGCACTTTCGCTAGGATCTTCATGTCATGGTTAATGAGCGAAATAGGCCTGTAATTCGTGGGCTGGAGCAGGTCCTTTCTGGGTTTAGGTAGTAATACGATCGTAGCCATGGTCATGTCAGGATCTAAATTCCCGCCCTGCCTCAGGTAGGCAAAAAGCTTCACCAAGCGCGGCGTAAGCTCCTCCCTGTAAGTCTTGTAATATGTGCCATCGAACCCATCTGGTCCCGGCGCTTTGTTGCCCTTCAGGCCTGAGATGGCCCTGTCCACTTCTTCTTCAGTGATTTCTGCTGCTAAACTGTACACCATATCCCTACTTAGTTTCTTCAGACCCAAAGGCTCTAGATACTGCAGGATATGTTCCTCCTCTTGTTCAGGCCGGGTACCCCCTGTCGGGGTGTGGTGATATAATTGTTTATAGTAATCCTCAAAAATCTCAGCTATCTCCGTCGGCTTTGATTTCGTTGTGCCATCCGGGTGTCGTATGGCCGTGATATGAGACCGTTCCTGTCGGGGTCGTAGTGTCCTGGCCAGAAGTGTGTCCATCTTGTTTGCTTTTTCAAAGTAGGTACGTTTTGACCACACCATGGACCTGGCCGTGTCGTCTAGCAATAGAGTACGGATGTTTCTCCTCACTGTTTCTAATTGTCTGTAGAGCTCTTCGGTCGGGGTCGTTTGGTGTTTTAATTCAAGGGTTCGTAGCTGTCCCAGCATAGTCTCTAGCTGTTGATGTTTCTGTTTCTTCTTTCTGGTGGCTATCTTGATCAGTGTCCCTCTCACTACAGCCTTGTGTGCCGCCCATATTGTACTCGCCGTCACGTCTGGGGTGTCGTTCGTACCAAAGTAATCTATCAACTCCTTCCTAACCTGTGCCACCACTTCAGGATCCCGAAGTAATGATGTATTGAGCTTCCATGTCCACGGTGAAGCTGCACACAGATTGCCCAGTGTGATGGAGACGTCAGCATGGTCCGACCAAGAAATGTTACCAACTTGTGAGCCTACAGTGCGTGAAAGACCTGCAGCATTCGTGAGGAATAGGTCGATCCTGGAATACGTACCATGTGGAGCCGAATAAAAAGTGTAGTCCTTGGTACTTGGATGATGAGCCCTCCAAATGTCTATCAGTCCCGTAGTAGTAATAAAGTTTCTAAGTAACTGGTCTTGCCTGCCTCTCCCTTGGGACCTTGGTGTTCCATCTTTAGAGCTCCTGTCCATAGCAGGGCACGGGGCCGCGTTAAAGTCCCCCCCCATGACAACTATGCCATGTGGCAACGCTGATATTTTATCCTGCAATGTGTGCCAGAAGGTGGAGTCCGGTTGGTTCGGTGCATAAATATTCAGCAGATGTATGGTATGGGACTGTAAGGTTCCTGATACAATGACGTAGCGGCCGTCTGGGTCTATGTCTTGGGAGGTCATTCGGAAGGGACAGCTATTGCTAACGAGAATAGCCACTCCATTACGTTTACGATGGGACCTCGCTTCGTATGTCCCTGCGTATGTGCGGTCACGTAGCCTGAACTTAGCTTGTTTAGGAATGTGAGTTTCCTGCAGATAAGCGATATCCGCCTTCATTCTTTTCAGCTCTCTGAACATTAGACGGCGTTTTTTCGGGCCGTTAAGGCCTTTAACATTCAACGTAATGATCTTAATCTCCATTGCGTGGAGTGTCCCTCCCTACTGCTTGAAACTGTGACTATAGCTTGTCCGTCGCTCTGCAAGCCTTTGTCTATCATGTCATTTGGGTTAGGCGTCCTGACTATGGTATCCTCTTTTGACATTGACGGACCAGGGTCAGGCCTAAAGCCCACTACTTCGGAGAGTACTCCCCCGCCCCCTAGATAAGGAAAGAAAAGGAAAGAAAAGAGAAAGGTAAACTGGAAATGAATAAAGGGCATTGGTAGATGCCCGAGAAATCTGGTCTTACCTATCGCCAGATTCACGTGGGGAGCACGTTCCCACTTCTCCTCTGTAATCACGCTAGGAGGAGCTGTGGAGCTCTGAGCCTCGTCTCCCACACGCCCTCTCATATCTTGAGTGACCACTAAATGCTCGTCAAGAGAGCCATATCAAAACTTCCATCCCCTACCCCACCGCTTTTGGCCCATGACCATGCAACTGGGTCCATACTCACTATGTACACTTTATCCCCTTAGGTTGGGGTTGCGGGACTATACCCGGTTATTGGTAATCACAAAAGCCGTCACACACTAGGGCCACACTGTAGGACCATTCCGTCCGGATTAGGTCCTAGGCCTCTATCTAATATACAATACTCCCCCCAGGGAGAACATACCGGCTGACCATATGAGGGATCAACCTATTAAAACCGATTATATTTATGACCCTATAGGAAAAAAAAAAAGAAAGAAACCCCACATCCCCCCCTATACCCTTCCAAACTCGACCAGCCAGTATTATTTTGTCGTAAATAACTGCATAATTTCATAACATTAAGTAGGGGGTGCAACTGCAATGAGTGGCAAGAGAACACACCCGTCTGTGTGAAGGTACAAAACCCCTCCATCAAGGCGCACACTCCCTCTTTTCAACACAACCCTTATCCTTCATGGCATGGTTTAGTTCTACATTTTGCCATATGGTCACCTTTCTCCCTGTTTCCTATTGAGGGGAAACACACTCTCCCATAGTCATCACCCACCCCTATTGCAAAGCGTACAGTGCTCTTCCCATCGCCCAACCGGCTGCCCATCAGTTATATTCACGTACTGTTATAGTATACATAAGAAATCCCTGTATAAATTGTACATGGTCATTAGTTTCCGGCCTGCGCTCTCGAGTATCCCTTTGCGTATGTCGCTTTGACCCCTTCTAGCTAGCAGTGACCATCAACCCTCACAGGGTCACCTCCTTCCTCTTCATCGACACCATCCTCCTCCCTGTCCTCTTTTCCTTCATGTCCTCCCCTCCTCTCCTTTCCCCCTCTTCTTCTTCTCATTCCTTTTCCGTCTTAGGTCTGCATATTCTCATTCCCATGCCCCTCCCTCACCTTCTCCCCTCTCCCCTTGCTCCCCTCCCCCTTTTCTGCTGTACTACCTCTCTGCTCCTACTTCCCCCTCTTTCAATGTTGATAATTTATATTTATCTGGTGTGTTTTCCTTTTCTTTGTTGTTTCATTTTGTGGTTTTATTTTATGTTATGTTATCCCTATTTCTGCAGCGTTCCCCCTTCCCCCCTTTTGCGATTTCTGTCACCTGTTCCTCTTTTTCTTTCTCCCTCTTACACTCTTTTCATTTTATTCTTTCTCTCTTTTCTCCTTCGTCCCCACTCCCTCCCTTTTCCCCTATCCCCCCTCTCCCTCTCTTTGTTTCCGTTTTCTCCTCCATCCTCCTCTCTCCATCCTTTTCCTTTTTTCTCTCCCACTTTTCTTTCCCTGTTTCCTATTCTCCCACCCCACCCCTATTCTCGTTTCCGTTATGCATTCCCGTTTTTCAAAAAAAAAGGGGGGGGGCCTATGTCTTTGTGGGGGTTATTTCCCTTCCCTTTTCTTCTTCCTTTTTCCCCTTTTTCCCTTTCTTTTCCTTCCCTTCCCCTCTCTTTCCCTTTTTTGTTTCCTTTTTCCCCTTTACATTTTCCTTTTTTCCCCTTTTTCCCCCCCCTTTTTTCCTTTCTTTTTATATCATGCATGCAGTACCCTTACCATACACATTACAAGTCACCTGCATGCAATCATCGCATACCCAATACGAGGAGGGAAGGGGGCGTAAAGGAAGTCAGGTGTTGAACACACAAACAAGAAATTAGCAGTACCACAAGTTCTTTTGTGTCCCGGAATATGGAGGAAAGCCATATCCTGATAGCCTCCGTGTGTCTTGCGTGGCGCTCTGTAGGCCGGTAACAGAAGTGTACGACCCACAGAGCGCCACGCCATTTTCCTTTCTTTTTATATCATGCATGCAGTACCCTTACCATACACATTACAAGTCACCTGCATGCAATCATCGCATACCCAACACGAGGAGGGAAGGGGGCGCAAAGAAAGTCAGGTGTTGAAAACACAAACAAAAATTAGCAGTACCACAAGTTCTTTTGTGTCCCGAAATATGGAGGAAAGCCATATCCTGATAGCCTCCGCGTGTCTTGCGTGGCGCTCTGTAGGTTGGTAACAGAAGTGTACGTGTGAAAAAAAAAAAAAAAAAAGTCCCCTTAGTCCTACGGTCACCTAGATTGTCCATCCGGCCCCGGTCCCGGCAACCCCCCTCCCAAATCGCAGCCCCTTCAATAGTAGTATTAAAAACTGTGGTAGAGGGGGGCGTGTCCAACTTCCGGCAAGATCGGTCGCATGGAGTAGGAGCTCCGCACACCCGGACCAGAATAAACACTTTTAACAAGGAAATCTCGCCAGATTGCCCTGAACCAGCGGGAGATAAGGCTACACGGCTCCTAATGTCTCCCTCAAAACAGACGAAACTTACGGACACGGTCCGCCAACATAAGAAAGACAGGCTGAAGCAGGCCCAAGATGGCGTCTCCAGCAGAGCTCAGTCTCCGGACCCCGACCCCTGCACCGAGTCGCCTACGCACTCGCTATCAGACGACTCACAATTCTCTAAGGAATATCTGAGACAAGCGCTCGCGGACCTCAGGTCCACTATTAAAGAGGATTTTACCACCTCCTTGGCGGGCATCCACCAAGAATTAGAGGAGCTGGGTGACCGGACCGACCAGGTCGAACGCAAAACAGATGATCTCTCCTCTGCCCATAATCTGATGGCGGAGAGAATACAGAAACTAGAAGAAGACAATTTCAAATTATGGCATAAAATGGCGGATATGGAAGACCGCTCTCGCAGGAACAACGTGCGGTTCCGGGGAGTGGCAGAGTCCGTATCAACAGATCAGATCTCGGCCTACATTACCGCATTAAGCACCGCGCTGGTCCCTGACCTCTCAGAGGTAACCTGGGAACTGGACAGAGCCCACCGGGTTCCAAAACCGCCCAGATTAGGCGCGGAGGTTCCACGCGACATTATCGTGCGCTATCATCATTTTAAAGCCAAAGAGGCTCTTCTTAAGGCCGCTAGAGCCCAAGCCACATTGCCCGACCCTTATAACGCTGTCTCTATCTTTGCGGACCTATCGGCCCTCACTATGGCAAGACGCAGAGAATTCTCCTCCATTACCAAAACCCTACGCAACCACAACCAGGCTTACCGTTGGGGATTCCCTACAAAACTATTGATCTGGCGGCAGAATAAGCTCCACACTATAGATGACCCCCTGAAAGGTTTATCCATGCTGAAACTCTGGGGACTCTGGGGCCAACAAGAAGCCACCCACCAACAACCGAACGCCTCGACCACCCTGAAGAAATCCCAGCCAGAATGGCAGATGGTTGGCGCTCGACGATAACAGCCATCCCATACAGGACAGCATCTCCCTGCCTCCACTTGTTGATGCACCCTACAGCTGCATAAGAAGACACCGTGCTGACTGTCGATGCCCTCGCCCGTCACGAACTTCTACCTCTTACTCCTGAACTGTCTCCAGCTGGCTTATGCCTCAAGCAAGGGCTCTAAGCCTATACATCGCTAAGGGTCACAGACCCCAGTTGCTACGAGTGGTATCGTATGAACGTACACGGTGGCATATTGTTGGATGAGGGTGTGGGGTGGGGGGCATGGATAGTTCACATGATGAAGGAAAAAAAAAAAAAAAAGTTTATACAATTTCCATTAAGTATTGCTCATACTAATAAGGGAGGTCGTACATGTTTTACTGTTTTATCTGAGGAATGTTTGCAAGGGAGTAATCCCCCCTCTTGAAAACTGCTATGTCATAATGTTCGTTTAGGTCCCCATGTGTAACATCTCATCCCCCTGTACTCCAGTAGGCCCTAGGGCTAGGTCTCCCTAGGCCCCCCTCCTCCCCATGAACGTTAAACACACACATGGCCAAGTGGCCGCCTCCTGTGAACTATGATTACGTCTTTAGATACACTATCGACCATGCTCAGCCTAATAGAAGGAAATATGTATCATATATCACAAGAAAAAAAAAAAAAAAAAACCCCTTCCGCCAAGCAGCCGCAGCAATCCCGGTTATGTCCCTATAATTACGTTACCCTTCTCCAATATAATGCATCAGGGATTTAGAGGGGGCGCAGGCGAGAATGCTGTCCAGGTTTCAGACCCTCTTGCGTATATTTTCCGTTCCATTCTTGCTTACTCTAAGATTCTGGTCCGGGTGCGGCCCTGTTCCGCACGACCCCCCAAAGGTATCCGAGGTATTTGGAGCTTTAGGCTCCCCTCCGGATCCCAGTATTTTCTCTCGTCCCAGAGAGAGTTAATGTATATACCTTTGTTTGTTGATTTTGTCTTTCCTGTTAATTCCCTTCCCATCCCCTTGGCAGCTCCGTTGTCCCATATCTGTGCAGGTCGTACTCAGCCATTCGATCTTCCCTTATTCTACACTACGCACCATCTATCCACAGGTCCCATGGGTGTCGCTGGCAGACAGTATGCTGTGACCAACAAGCTTTATTGTATATCTCTTTAAGATGACGTTCCAATTTAAATGTCTCTCTATGAATGTCAACGGCCTAAATAGCCCATTCAAAAGGAGCTCTGTGATTAAGACCATTCATACTTCCCAGGCTGCCATAGTCTGCCTCCAGGAAACACACATGTGCAAAAGAAACCCCCCTAAACTGAGCTCATCCAGATACCAGCAGGTATTTCATGCCCATGCACCAAACAAAACGAAAGGAGTGGCAATTCTGTTCCATATTGATTGGGTCTTTCATCTTGATAATTCCTATGTAGACGAGCTGGGCAGGCTCCTTGTAGTGGTAGGATCGCTGAATGGTATGCA